AGTGCAACACCTAAAATCATGATGCACAAAATAATTTATTCAGTGGGCTTATCTGAAATTTTGAAGCAGAGGACAATTATGATGGAGCCTCCTATTCACAAAATGTTGGGCACTATCAAGCATAAAATATCTACTTACTGGAAAATAATCTCTGCCACTTTGTTAGAGAATCCTTGATAATCAGCAGTCTATTTTTTATAGATATATACATTTCCACATCAACTCTGGATTACAATCACCCAACATTTTCATGTTTCACAAAGCCTATTAGACACTGTTCTTAAAGGAAATATAGAAGAGGTGGGAGGATGCTTTGCTTTTATTTATTTATGTCAATGGGGTATTTAAAAAAATACACAGGACAAGGAGCCTGGAGGGATACATTATAAGTTCCTGAACTGTCTTTTATATCCAATTATTTTCTCACTTTCACCTATGCATCTGTCATGGAGGATTGCAATAACAATTCTGATCTTTTATACCTATATACTTTGAGGACAAAGGTAAAATATAGTACATTTATACACTTTGAAATCTGAAACACACCACTTAAGATTTTAAGTATCAACTCAATTATCTCCTTCATACTAAAGGGATAATGAAAGGAAGTTGCTTTGATTTTAAATGCCTTGAAATGAAGCAGTGTATCTATATTGCAGAGTTTACACAGATGAACTCAAGGAAAAGATTTTAGAAGAGTCTGCATTGGGAATTTGGGATTTTTTTCCTGAACTCAAGAGAGTGAAAATGTCCAGAATTGCTTTTAACATTTAAACCAGCTAGCTAATTATAGCTATGAACTAGACCTTGCCTCCTATATCTATAGTTTATTTAGTTACTTGAATTTATAAGCCACCAAACTCTGATGATCTCGTAATTATATTTCAGATCACTACAGAACACTGATATCAGATGGAGCAACCCATAAAGACAAAATTGCAACTGGTATAGAAAACTGCTGCCCACAAGTGTGACATAACTGGTGAGGAACTCGGTGACAACAGGGAAACCCAGGTTGTAGTCCATTCTCAGCGATGGAAACCCACTGAGGGCCTTTGGTAATCTCTTGGGAGGCCACACTGCATATACTGTACTTGTGTACACCATCTTGAGTATCCTATATAGGTACTCCTTGAGATGCAACCATAATGAAACTTGGCCACATGGTCACATTGTGGAGGCTATTAAGCAAGACAGTTCGTTTAATGAGCCCTACCCTCTGCTCTCCCTGATGTGGCCATTAAACAAACACAAGTTGTTAAATGGAGCAAGGGGGTGCATTAGAGATGAGGGAGGTCCTTGGAAGCCTAGTGCAGAACAGGTCCATCTACCCTGGGCCTCCTAAGGTCTCCCCAACCCCCCAAGGCATCCTGTTTTCCACTTCCTGCCCCTTCACCTACATTAGCCTGCCTACAGAAAAGAATATCTACAGCTCAGGAACTGTGTACTTCTTGGTATTCTCTGAGCTTAGTTGTTTGCTTGGAGGCATTTCATTACCCAACAAGGCAACATCATCAGTGCATGTCAATATATTCACACTGATGATGTTACCTAGCTGGGTAATGAAATCTTTGCAAGCAAGCCACCAAGCTCAGAGAGCACCAAGAACTCCAGAAAACTAGAATCATAGGCACAAAAGATAAGGCTTTCCATTGATTCCTATTTATGGAACATATTATGTCTACTTTCTTCAGTTCCTGGAAGAAAGCCAAAATACAAATAAATAAATTGGGGAGATCAGATCCCATTATAATTATTCAGTTGTATAAGTTACTCATATATACATATAATCATTTTCCAGAGACAACTTTATATCTAACATATTATAGCCTTACAATTTTATTCTACACTAATTTTGATTATGGAAACTACAGAAGGGCAAATGACCACAATAAAGGTTAAAAACTAGGTCTCAGTGTATGTCTATTATACAGCAATTATATAATAATAAACTTCTCTTTCAGCATTCATCTACTGCCATCCAGTGGAGATTTATTGAAAGAAAAAAAAGCATATAATCCTGCAACTTTCTTTCCATTTAAATAAAATTGCTATTCTAACTGGATTGTTCCAACTCGACTACAAAAATCTGGAACACTTTTTACATGGGAGAAAAGAGGTAGCTAACTTAGGAGTGGTAAAAAAATTTTTGGGAAATTCTGGAAGACATATAGTATACACAGAAGATATAATTACTGCAGAACACACAAGTCAAGCCTTGTGTATATAGGCCAGGTTTAAGTTCTAGGTTTTTTTCTCTATTTTAGCAGATACTTAGCTATTCTCTTGGTGGCATTGGAAAACACCTGGTCTGTGCTGATGTAACCGTTCTCTCTATTCTGAAAATTGATGTTTTCTACATTGTCTCCATTCCTTACAATTATTACACCTCAATGTTATCTTCCATGACTAATATTCTAACCTCAATGCCTTCCTTCAGCTGTAAGAATTAAATTCCCATATGGATATTCAGGTATTGCATATACCCAACTATATCTCCAAGGAGCATAAATCAGTGATAAGTGAAGGGGGGGGGGATGAGATTTTTTTCACTATTTTCTTTGTTCAGCCTCAGGTGGTATGCTACTTATGATTTATTATTAAGATTCTCTGGCAATGGTAACTCATGACATGGTTTTAAAAACTGCAACACCGTACATTAACCTTTGGAGGTAACCTGGAATCTACTGCTGGTACACAGTGCAGCAGCTAACGCTTAACAAGGAAGAAAGCCTCTTCTGAAGTGACTGCAGTTGTTCCCAATAAAATTCTGGGCTAAATTCAAAGTTCTGGTTTCCCCTTTAAAGATTTACAATGTAGCTCTATGGTATTAGATAACACCTTGCCAAAATCAAATCTGCCTATTTGGTCTAGTTATTTAAAGAAAACCTGTTGATTTCCTTTTTTGTGAGATTTATTAGGCTTAGATTAGGCAAAAGGCCTTCTACTGAGTCTGCCATTTTCTGGAAGATACACCCATCCAAGCTAAGGCTGTCCCTTAATATATAATCTGTTTTTTTTTTTAAAAAAAAAAGCAGGCTAAACCAGCAGTGTTCCAGTGAGGGCCTGGTCCTTAGTTAAGTGAATGGTACCTCTGATGCATTAATCCTGGGGTCCCCAACCCCAGGCTGCAGCTCACTAATGGGCCGTGGCTTATTTGGAACCAGGCCGTGAGAGAGGTGGGTGGGCATGCAATCAAGCTGTGTGTGCATATGCGCCAGCCTACACTTGTGTGAGTTGAGCTAGCACACATGCACACCGGCCTGCCACTTGCACGGCCCGGTTACTTTCTCCCCCCACCAGCCAGGCCGCCAAGCTGCATTAGCAATTTTAATACAGTAGGTTTTTTAAAATTTTGTTGTGACATAAGATCTTAAGATTGGAGTAAGCTATAAATATTATAAATTTCCTTATATTGCTTAATTAACATATTAGCTGGTATGTGTCAAACAAGAACTCAACATAGTAAACTAGAGCTATTTTTCCTCTATCCAGGAATTATAATTCTAACAATAGGAAAATTTCATTTTGCTTTTATTTTCAATAAGATTATGGCTAAAATATTTGACATTCAAATTAACACTGATGAGAGGTTCTTTACAGGTAGCCTTTAGTTAATGCTGGCACTTGGTATTTGCAATGCGATCACGAAGCACAACTTCTCCTGACCACATCACTTAGCAACAGCAGGCCTGGTTGCTGGCATTAATTGAATCCCACCCACTTGTTAGGTGAGGACACAGGTCAATCCAAGCCATTTCCAGCTTGCTCTTTCCCAGTCCAGAGCTTCAGTAAGGGATATGAGACTGCTCCCTCTTCATCCACCTGCCTCCCCTTCCATCTCTGGCCTTTTGGCCACCTGCCCCTCCCAAATGATCTCCGCCATCTTCTCCCTCTCTATGATGATGCACAACCAGCCTAGCCCTTTTAGAGACAGCTGCTGGCCTTACCTTTTTTGCAAGGTCACACCTTGTCAAAATTGTGAGCGGCCTTCTTGTGAAGCTTTGAAGCGTCCCATGAAAGGCTAAGCGCCTTAATTTTGACTACACAATCATGAGGGCCTACCATTAACTTCAAATGATCATTGAACATAGTCGTTAACTGATGTCTAATTGTACTTACATTATATGATGACTCATAGGATTCACACAACACACAAATGTAAAATTAAATCATTTTACAGTTTAATACAGTATAGGAAGTTATTACCTTTGCTACAAAAGGTAATGGAAGAAAACATTTATTGAATGAATATCTTTATTGGATGCATAAGCTTGTTTGTGTCCAGGAGATAATTACTCGGGACCTACATCAATATTTTGCAGTTACTAGGATGCATCTTTGTGATTCTGTGAACAAATTACCAGTATCCAGAGATATAGTTAGGAAACCATTTGGCTTAAGCCCCAAAGATACTATTCAAAAGGCAACTAGACTTTCTTGGTTTTTTCCTTGAAAACGTTTCGCTTCTCATCCAAAACGTTTCTTCAGTTTTGGCTGAATGGTGTGGGCAGAATTGAATTAGTTTTTTGGATGAGAAGCGAAACGTTCTCAAAGAAAAAAAAAAACAAGTCCAGGTGCCTTTTGAATAGCCCCTTTGGGGCAACCAGGACCTGGATGAATGAGAACCTCCATTTGGCTTAATATTTCCCCAAAAAGATAAGAACACTCATCCCAGGGAGCTCGTGCTTGCAAAAATTCTTCCGCATCCCGCCATAGGCCAAATCCCAGATTTAAAGATAGAGGAAACTCAACCGATGAGGATTCCTTCCCCCCCCCCCCCGAAAACACAATGCAGAATTATCCTGTTCCTGTCTAAGGTACACATCCTTGCTGAGTCGTGCTATATAAAGTGTTATAGCTCAGAACTATCTGGCGACACAAATAGCTTTAGCTTCGGAAAGGGACGAGAACCCTCCCTGCTTTTTTCCCCACTAGCAAACAGAAATGGAAGAGGAAAAGTGCCGCGTTCAGGACCAGCAAGGAGGCTCAGCCAATACCTGCGCAGACAATGTTCGCACACGATGCCGAGGCGCTTCTTGCTGACGATGTATGCGAAGGGCGCCGCGCGATACAGCAACTCGCCCGATTTCACCGCCTTCAAGAGGCGCAAGCCGTTGCCTTTGCCCGGGCTTGCAAACTTTTCCATTATCGTTCCGCAGAGCAAAGAATAAACTGAAAGACCTGCCGACCCGCACGCTTCCCGCCTCGATCCCCACGTGACGCTGCTCTGCCTGCCACCGGAATCCTCTTTCGAGCAAAAAGAGCCCGCCTTCCTTACGTTCTCCGGTGCCGCGCCTGTTTAGAAATTCGCAGTCGCATCTTTTCCTCACCGCCCCGTTATTAAAACGCAGAAAAGCGTTGTTATGAATAGCACTTAAATAGTTGCATGTGGAGTGTGTAGGACTGCAGATGTCAAACTCTAAGGAAAAGTTTAAAAGCAAGAGACATCACAGGCTGAAATTGTTAAGGCCAAATAACTTACCCACATTAATTTCAGAATATTTATGTATTAGTGTTCTGATTAGAGTTCTGTACTTCTGAAATTAATGTGGGTAACATTTATTTGGCCTTAACAATTTCAGCCTATGGTGTTGTCTCTTGCTTTTAAACTTGTTTAATTTTCAAATAAACCAAAAAAAGAAATACCACCTAATTCCACTCTGATAGCAAATAATACGATGTATATCTCCCTGAAGTGGGTAGGAAGCCTAGAACTATTAAGGTTATTAGATAAAATTCCAGATATTAATATAAAACCCTCTAGTTTTTGAGATAGCCAGTTCAGCGAAGTGATTAAAGCATTAGACTAGGAACTGGGAGAGAGTAAATTCTGGCCCTGTCTTAAGACACAAAGCCAGCTGGCTGACTTTGGGGCTGTCACCCACTTGGAAGCAGGCAATGGCAAACCACTTTTTAAAATTTGTCAAGAAAACTTAAGGGACCTGGCCAGGCAATTGCTAGGAGTCAACATTGAGTCAAAAGGATTTAAAAACAACCCTTTTTGATAACAAATGTTCTGCTAAATCAGTGCCTAGAAAGAGATTTTAAAATCTATTTTTCCCTGGGTTCTTGTATACTTTTTACTGGAACGATTTGTTTTTAGAATTGACTTTAAGATCAGTAAGCATTCTATAATTGGAACAGCTCAATCCTAATCGTAACCCTAACCCGTGGCAGGATTCCAAGTTTAAGTATGCCAAATGGAAAGGTATTTAATTTTCATTTGAACATATCTAGGAAAGAAGAGTCCCCTACTTCTCTTAATAAATGTTTCCAATGTTGAACCGTTCTATCATTCAGTTGAAATCTGCCTTCTTGTAGCTTAAATCCTTTATTCTCTGACTTGCCACCTGGAACAAGAAAAAAATGTCTGTTTTTTTTTTTCTAAGTGCCATCTTTTCAGATACTTGAAGATTGCTATCATTTTAATCTCAATCATGGCCACTAAAACTATTGCCTTTTATTTTGGACTTTTAATTTTTACAAGTAGGTAGCTTGTGAAAGCCATTCATCACCCTCACCAATGGCTCACATTGCGGGACGGGATATATACAATCCTTGCTCCCAACAGGAAGTTCCAAGGGAGCAGAGGGGTGTGCGTGAAAAGATCAAGATTGTGTCTATCACATGACCAAAGTTCCCCCTTGTTTTGCACGAGAAGAATGCAAAAGGAGGGAAGGTTCAATCATTCCATCATGGGTGCCATCTTTTTTTTTTTTAACCTCTCCCCTGTCCCTAGTCAATATCAACTGAATTCACTCTCATTTAAGTGTGCTCTCTAAAGTGAAAAGTAATGCATGGATTGTCCGTGTATACTTTTTTTCCTTTTATCAATTCTTGCCTTGCAGATTAACATTTGAGGGGGTCTAGCTGCTTATAACTGATTAGGACTTTGTCTTATCTTTTTCCCTACTTTGTGTGCTTAGTCACAAAAGAAAATGACGAAGAAGTGTTTCATTAATAAGGAATAACAAGTTAAAAATATTTTATTAAAAATGAAAACATTAACAATCAAATTATGAAGGTGTCAAAAAGGATATTTCAGAGCTGTAAAGAGTTCTGTTCAAACATGAAAGTAAGCATTAAAATAGCGGTTGTATTTAAAAATAAGGAGTAATGGAACATTGGAACTAAATGTAAGAGTTTGGATTATAAGCAATAGCATAACCTTTTTGTTTTAGTTAATATTTGCCTTATTTGCATCTGTCCTGAAACAATCCAAATTTAATTATTTTTATTTTAATTGCTGAAGTTTTATGGAAGCTACAGAAGAGTCAAAGAAATAGGAAGCATTACAATAGGTTTTAGACTTATCAAAATGACTCAAATAATTACCAGCATTTTCTTTAATTTAAATCAGAGCTAAAGAAACCTAAGAACCTTGAGGTCTGGATATCTCCCCAAGCCACTCATTTTTTGGCCCCAAGACTCACTCTGATGCTTTCTGGAAATAGCAACATTGGTTTTCTCCCAAACACACAAATAAATCCACCCAATTAGAATTAAGGAGAAAAAGAACTTTCTCCCAGAGCCAGGAAAATTCAGAAATCCCGTCCATTATGCACTTTTATCTTCATCTACTTCAGCCTTTACTTTCTCAAAAGCACAGACTATAGTTAGCAAATGTTAGCATCTCTAAACAAAATATTAATATTCGTTAATAAACTACAGATAGTATGATCTTATTCATAAATAATTGTAAGCTAGAATTACAGTAGCTGTAATGATCTTGAATCTGGGACTTTGTACTCAACTTAATTTTCTTATTTAATAAAGTTTATATTATTCTGCTATGGGGAAACACACTGATCATGACAAATCAACCTAATCGTCTTTTTTGATACAGTGACAATTAACCAGAAGCAGGCAATGGACAGTTTAACTTGTATTCAACAAAGTCTCCAATAAAATGCTAGAAGACAGCATGGCAAAAGATGAACTGGACTATTATATCATTGGATGAATATTGAGTTGAACAAGCATAACCAACAAATGTTTATCAAAGGCTTCACATTAAGTTGGAAAGAAGAACTAAGTGGTTGCACAAGGACTCCATTCTAGACTTTGTCCCCCTGAACATATAACTTAGATGAAGGGTTAGAAAATACAGTATATTCAATCTGCCTATGACAGAAAGGTAAAAGGAAAAGTAAACATCTTAGAGAACAATGGAGGAGATATTCAGGAGATAATAACTTGTTAAACTGGAATAAATAGGTAGAAACCAGCAAGATAAATTTCAGCAGTGACAAATTCCATGTCTTAGATTTGGGTAGGAAAAATCAAAAGCATAGTTAAGAATTGCAGGGGACCATACTGGGCATCACTACATGCAAAATGGATTTGAGTGTTTTGATAGATTAGATGCTGAATATAGGCAACAGCATATAACTGCAAAAAAAAGGCAAATGAATCATAGCTATGAAGAGAAATCATTGTTTTTCTCTATTTTGCACTGATTTTGATCTCATTTGGAATATTGCATCCAGTTTTAGGCACATTTTAGAAAGGATAGTGATAAACAAATGTGTGTCCAAGGAATAGCAAGGGAAGTAAAGGATCAGGAAGGAGGCATTATATGAGGAACAACTAGCAGCTGCTTACCCTGGAGTTGGTTACAGGCATCTATCAAGTACAGGTAGTCCTCAACTCACTACAACAGTAACTGGGACTAGAATTTCCTTTAGCAAATGATGTGGTCATAAAGCACAACTGAATCACATAGCAATGGCAATCACTGTAGTTGCCATCATTAACTAAATCCCAGTTGTTAGATGAGGCAACTTCCTGCCCAATTTCCCCTACCAAAGTCAAATGGGAAAATCACCACAAAGGTTCCAGGTAGGAGGAAGTTGCATGGCAGTTCAGGGGAGGGTCAAGAAGGGTGTGCAAGAGGCACAGCAGAGCATGAAGGTAGATCAGGAAGAGTGCAAGAAAGATGCTGTGCCGGTCAAGGGGGGTTAGGGTGTACAAGAGGCACTGTGGATTGTTGAGGATGCGTGACAGAGCAAGAGGTCATGAGAGTGTTGTGAAGGTTGGGGTTGATTGGGAAAGGTGCTTGAGAGGCATCATATGGGTTGGGGAAGATGTGCAAGGGTCTGTGTGAGGGAAGCATAGTGAGGGTTGGGGAGTGCTCACAAGGGTGGGCCTTATCCCAAAGACTTGTGACCTTCCCTGCCATCTTCCCTACTGATTTTTTTAGGAAGCTGGCAGGGAAGGTCACAAAAAGTAATTGTGTGATTGTGGGGTCTTGAAAAATGATTGTTAAGTACAAACAAGTTGTCAAGTGCCCATTTTGGCTAGAGAAAATGTTTGGAGCTGTAGCCTCACAAAGAGGAAGGGCTAAAGAAGAGGCTACTCAAAGAAATTCAAAAAGTTACTTCCTCCAGCACTGCCTTCTCACATTGCACATACTTGCAGTAAAAAGGAAAGAAAATTATTTCTGACTATTTTTAAATCAAAGCCTCAAAGTGGAAAGAGGGAGAAAGCCTAGCATCCCATAGGGCCCCCTAAGCTCTACTCTTGCTAGTTAAACCGTTTTCTGAACAGAATGGGATCTGTCCAGGAGCTGTGGAAAGGGCAGAACTAAAGTAAACTACCATTACAACTTCAGGAAGGTTGTATTCTGTGGATGTCTGAGAAAACAAACGGAGGCAATCCTTCTTTCCTGATATAAAAATAAAATTATATATCTTGTTATTTTAGGTGGTCTCTGATATTTGTATCCAACTTTGTGCAAAGTCTGCTCTTAGTTTTGCACTATCTTTAAATCAATTGAGCTTCAGACAATACTTATTTGAATCTGTGCTAAGACTACTGTTGTCCTCAACTTACACCTACTTGTTCAGTGACCATTCAAAGTTACAACAGTGCTGAATGCATTGTGTTTATGACCAGTCCTTAAGTTCTGGACATTCCAGCAGTCACATGATTGCAATCTGGGTGCTTGGCAATTGGTTCACACTGATGGCCAGTTGCAGCACCCTATGATCATGTGTCACTATTTGTGGCTTTCCTCGGTGGCTTCCCAGGAAAGTCAATGGGTAAGCTGCCTGGGAAACCTGGATGTCACTGGGATAAGTCTCTCTTGCCCACACACCCTCTTTGCACTCACTTTATGACTACATCATTTAGCAATGGAAATTTCAATCCCAATTGCTGTCCCAAAGGACTGCTTGTATTCCTTTGTGGCTTAGCAGCATAATACCGTACAGTATACAAATGAGATTATATTGTCAAGATTAGCTTGTCCCATAGGTAATTCATCCTACTCTGTCATGCAATATGATTGCTCACATAATAATGGAACAATATATATTTCAAGCAATTTAGATGTACCCTAAAATAAAATTTGCTAGAATAGGCAGTTTCCTAATATTCAATGCTAAAACAAAATAGTTTATGTGATCTAATTTTAATTTCTATAACTTACAAATTAAAACACCAGTTATTTTGAAAACATAAATTAATTTCTGATGGAATATCAACAAGTTTCCTACACTGGAACTACAGTTTTTATCTTCACATACATTTCCCATCTCACCTTGCCCTTTGCCCAATGGATAATTCCTTAAAATTCCCAGTATAAACTATAAACTAGTAAGAAACAACTCTCATGTTAAATGAGAATTGCTTATTTTATATAGTATAAGTTATGTCTGTCCCCTCACAAAGTGGGATATAGTAAAGGCAGAATACAGATTAAATGAGTTGTATTTAAAATTAAACCAAAAATATCCCCTTCATTCTTTCTTCCATTTTTTTCATTCACTGTTATCCTGGTAAAATACTGATTTGGAAAATATCTGTTTTATACAAAACTGGTGGGGTACATAGTTATTGTTTTTTAATCTTTGCAGTTTCCAAGTTACAGCAACTTCAGAATTGATCATTTAGGATCCACTGCATCTTCCTTGTTTGCATAATTTAAATTTTCTAGAACTGTCATCTTCATACACATAGGGATTAACTTCTTTGTAAGACTTCAAGGTGTGTAGTTCTAAATATTTCAATTTAGAAAAAACATTATAAATTAGTCTTCATTTTAAAAAAATTACGCTATCATCTGCCAATAAATCAATGTCACAGAACAAACTCCGATCAATTCGATTAGACTGTTCCATACGTTCAAAGAGAGATTTGTATGCTTCTGGGTATAAACCACCAGCTGTAACATCTTCTGGAATCTCCAACTCTGTCAGCAAATTCTTTGCATTCTCATAAGTCCATAAACTGGAAAAAAATTGAAAAATTAGATATTATTTAATAATTAAAGATCAAGTGGGCTCAATATGTTCTTAAAACCTTGCCTTCAAATATGATGTCCAAAAGTACCAGTATGCTTGCAAATATCTGCCTTAGTAACTGCCTAACACAGGGGTCCCCAATCCCCCGTCCATGGACCAGTACCGAGCTGAAGCATGTCAGCAACCAGTCTGCACAAACAAGCAAAGTCCCATTCACAGGATGCAGGCAGCACACAAAACCATGCACCTTCTGGTCCGCGGAAAAACCTCTCTCCACGGAACTGGTCCCTGGTGTCCAAAGGTTGGGGACCTCTGGCCTAACTGGCTCGCCTGATTTTATTTAGAATATTTTAATCTTTTAAAAAAATTAAATGGGAATCCAACTTGATCTTAAATAAAACATCAGTATTATACTTACTGGCAAGAATTTTTTTGAATTCCACCACACATCTAGACACAATTTTTGACAAGAAAAACTTCAGCCAATGCTTGTTCCCTACCTCTCCACCCTGGACCCTATGAACACATTTCCAAAAATACGTTAAAATGATAAAAAGCATCTTGGGAGTTAGGGTGATAGTGGGGAACAATTTAACTAATTTCCTTTTAGCAAAGAGATGTTCTGTCACTGGTCCTGTTAATCATAAGCATACTGTTAGGCATAGAGGTAATCCTTGAGTTATGATCATAATGGGACCTGGAATTCCACAAGCAGTCATCTTTCCAGAAACTTGAAAGGAAATGAAAACCAAGAGGATTTCTCCTTGCATGCATTTGCCTCTCCCCCCCAGCTTTAGCAGTGATGGAAGGAGGACAGGACACTGCTAAAGCTGGTATGTTAATGCCTTGGAAAGGAAAGACTAGGATTGGTGAGGAAAGGAAAGCCAAAAGCTTCACCAGCATCTCGGAAAAAGATGATTCCTTGTGGAATTCTGTCACATGGCCCAGCAGGAAGTATCCTGTCTTCCTTCCATCACGCAACCTCTTGAGCTCTGGAGATCTCAGTAAGGTAGTGAGCAATCGGTAATGTGGGCAGGCAGGAATCCAATGGACCGGCAAAGCAGGCCCAGTGCCTGTGGGGATCTGATGGGATAGGATGGGAGGGAAATAGATGGAGGGGGAGGTTGCAGCATCTCTGTGGTCGGTCATAAGGGTGAACAACTGTTTCAACAGATGTAACTTTGGAAACAGGTTGTAAGTCCCTTTTGGGTGGGGGCGGGGAAGGTTGTTGTAACTTTGAACTATCACTAAGTGATGTTATAAGTTGAGGTTTACCTGTATTCTAAAATTTTCCAAATTTCTATTTGCTCCATAATGTTGGGATAGTGTATTAAAATATAAAAATATACATGATTTTGTATATTTTAAAAAAGCCAAAACATGTCTTTCTCTCTGTAGATAGATAGATAGATAGATAGATACTGTAGTTTTCATATATTTAAACCCAAAATTTAATATGAGCTTCATTTGGTTTCTCTTTCATTGACAAAAACTAATATTGAGTCAAACTTCCTATACAGCTTGAATTTACTGCAACATTTCCAGAACGTTTATAGCAAAATTCATACTGTTCAAGCATAACGGAATCATCAATAGATTGCATTTCCTTTTTGCAGAATACAACTGTATCTCCTTTGCCTCCATAAATTTACTGTCCTGTTGCCTATTTTATGAAATTTTTCCTCCGTAAAAGACTGAGAGCTCTTTTTGAATTCCAGCACTGAAAAATATCTTCTATGTTTCATCCTTCTAGCTGTCAATCTAGTAGTCCTTGGTGTTCTCTGAGTTTGGTTGCTCCCTTTCATTATTGAACTAGCTAAGATCAGTACTAGTGAGTTTTACTTCCTGTTTATATATATAGTAGCTTGCCCTGCCAATGTTGGTGAGAGTGTTGTTTTCTCCTTTAAAGTTTCTTGGATTAGGGCAGGGGTATCAAACTGCCGGCCCGCAGGCTGAATGAATCACATCAAAACCGCACCCACCCCATTGCCAGCAATGGGAAAGAAGTCACAATACATCGGGATATGTCATGTGACGTCGCAAGTTTGACACCCGTGGATTAGGATATTGTTTTCTGGTGTTTGTCTGTGTTAATCCCTGCTTATCTGTGTGTTGGCTGTTGGAGAGGATGTATCATTACACATGTATAATACATACATGCACATATGTAATGGTAACTATATACCATTGTACTTATTTATGGCACGATACATTGTATTAAACATTAGTCTATGCGGTTTTGCAATTGAGGAAATTTAATTTTACTTACTTCAATTTATTGAGTAGCTTAGTTGAGGCTTTACCAAAACACTGCTTTAACATCATAATAAATATTTTTGAATTATCAGTTGTCAAAAAGTCTGTAAATAAATCTTTGCGTGGTGTAAGTTGTACTAAATATAAGTGTTCATTCTGCAGAAGGTAGAAGAATAAAAAAAAATCTCAATTTAACAATTAACTCAAATGCATTTTAACCAAGTTAATTTTTTTTATAAACTTGATCAAACTTGTCTGAAAACTTCATTAGGAATTTGGTAAAAAGAATGTCTATGCATATATATTTTATTAATCTATTATATGCAGAAAAATGTAAAATAATAGTTCTTTAGTATAAGTTATGTTTGTTGGCCTTCAGACACATTCAATTCTTCCCAAGAAGCTAGCATTTCATAATGTATAAGCAATATATATATACAGATCCAAGCAGTTTTGCAACTGTCAGATGGAAATATTGTCAATACACAGATTTTCTAAGTTCCATCCAAGATTTGCCGATAACCTACTGTGCCAATAACCACTGGGACCACAATGGCCAGCTTATGCCATAAACTTTCCATTTCAATTTTCAAATCTTGATAATTTGGGATTTTCTCCAATTCTTTGTCTTCTCCTAGTACTGCCATACAAATCATCTATAATTCTTCAGCCACATTTAAATCTGATGTGTTTGCAATCGGAAATGCCAAAATCTACTTATTATGGTTCATTGCAGAATCAGGCAGATATTTTGTTTGGATTTGGCATTTTTATCCACCTTTATTATCATAATGGTTTGTCTCACAGTTAGCCAGATTTTCAAACTAGATTTGGTATTTTTATACACTTTTCAAGTTCTTCCCAAGGACATGGGATAGGTAGATGTGGTTGTTTGATGATATTAAAGATATTGTCACAGGATATAAGCGGTTCTGAGTAAAGCTGACTTTTGCAATTGACTGATGGTGATTTTGTTAATGCCAATAGTGTTATTATTAAATTTATTTGCCACCCATCTCATGGTTCAAGGTGACTCTGAGCATTATGTTGCCCAATTAACAGAGTAACAGAGTTGGAAGGAACTTTGGAGGTCATCTAGTCCATCCCCCTGCTCAGGCAGGAAACCCTATACCATTTCAGACAAATGGCTGTCCAGTCTCTTTTTAAAAGCCCCCAGTGATGGAGCACCCACAACTTCTGGAGGCAGGTTGTTCCACTGGTTAATTGTTCTCACTGTTAGGAAATGCTCCAACACTGGAAGTTTTTAAGAAGAGACTAGACAACCATTTGTCTGAAATGGTATAGGGTTTCCTGCCTGAGCAGGGGGTTGAACTAGATGACCTCCAAGGTCCTTCCAACTTTATTATTTATTATTTTTATTTATTAAATTTCTGCTTAGTTCTAGGTTGCTTCTCTCCTTGTTAGATAAGGCTCAGTGTTCAAGTCTGTTGAGATCCATCTGGATCTTGAGCCTATCTTCTGGGATAACCCCCAGTAATTCTTCCAGATTATATACGGATATGTACATGTGGTCTCTCTTGGATTATGAATATCTTAATTCCGCTCTCCATGGCAATGTACATGACATTTATTGCAAAATTATAACAAACCATGGAAAGACTGCAATAGCAATTCCTAGTGGGAATTCTCCTAACACAGGTAGTCCTCAACTTATGATCTTAACTAAACCAGGAATTATGGTCGTAAGTAGTTGTGGTCATAAGTCAAGGCACACACATGACCAGAAAAAAATTGACCTTTCTTGCAGCAATCATTAAGACAAGGCATAATCATTAAGCAAACCCACTCATTTGAATGACCATTTTTTTTGCTGGCTTCCATGTTAATTGTAGTTATGTTACCACAGAACATCATAACCAATTGTAAAGATGATCTGCCTGACAAGCAATCACACAATTGTGGGGGGTGTGGCACAACTATTTATGATGGTTGGGGTGACATATGAGCCATAAAGCATCTGTTCCATGGCTGTCATATCTTCGAACAGTTGTAAAATGATTAGTCTTTAAATGAGTATTACCTGTATAGGTTCTGACTCATGTAAAAAATATTTTGAGAACTACAATTTGATGTTAATTAAGTGTAAATAAAAGCTATCCATTTTTCTCTAAAACAGAGAACTAGATAATTTAAATAGACATTCAAATCCATTATTTGGCTTTTTACATACAGCTCCTTAAATCAAATTGGACACAGTTACTTTTCAAACCTCTCAATTATGTGTCTGCGGAGGAAGAATTAACTGCATCTTGAACAGCCCCAATCAAATTAATTTGTAGAGTCCTGAGTGCTGAGTTTCATTGTTTTATTGCATATATTTCCTTTCCCAAACTAGGTAACTCATCAGTTCTAGCTCAGAGCACCAAGGACTTCATTTCAACCTCGAGCTACAAAGTCTCCTTTAAATTTGTATATTTTTCTTGCACATAAAAGTAATCACCCAGACATTCACACTGCATTTATTTTAGGACTGACAAATATTAAAAGCTCACCGGACTATTTGATCCCAAGGACTTTTTCCTTGAAGTAGTTAAAAATGAAGAGCAAGGCTCCTACAAGAGAGGAAACAATGAAAGTTAATGTAGCTTTAAAATACTATGGCCAAGATATGAAAGAAAGAATGAAGAAGCACTAAAATCAATTATATATTCAGCATTCTGAATGTTGGCATCCTAAATAGAGATTTTGACAATAGGTTTATACATGGAATAGAAGTCAACAATACCAATAAGATTAAATAAGAAATATTTTGAGGGGCTTAATAAAATAATCTTGAAATATATTTGGCAGGGAAAAAAGGCAAGGATTAATCTAAAAATGTTACAAGATACAAGATTGAGAGGTGGGTTTGGTCTACCTAATTGGGAATTGCACTATAAGGCTGCAGTGTTATCATGGATGAGAGAATGGATCTTACTGAGGAATACAAGATTATTGACATTAGAGGGACATGATTTACAGTTGGGATGGCATGCTTTCATATGGTATGGAAAAAATAGAATACATAGCTATTTCCAGAGACACCATATAAGGAATTCTTTATTTGTGGTCTGGGAGAAAGTAAAGAGAAAGCATTATTTGAAGATTCCAAATTGGCTCTCAACTATGGAGGCGCTAATACACCCCAATATGTTTAACATGGAAAACATTATAAGATATAAAGACTTACTAACAGATATGGGGGAGTTGAAAACCAAACAACAATTACAGGAACAAGGAATAAAGATGGATTGGTACATGAGAATGCAAATACAATCTAGATATGAAAAAGATGTTAAAATAGATAGTGTTAATTTGGGGACAACAGAGTTAGATGAAATACTTACAGGAACGGAAGAAAAATGGATTAAAAAAATGTACAGTTATCTACTACATATGGAGTTAGAGGAGGAACAAGTGAAAAAGACAATGATAAAATGGACAAGGAATTTTGGATACTCAATTGAATTAGATAGATGGCAGCAACTATGGGAAAGAAACTATAAATTGACAATGGCGACTGCGTATAAAGAAAATATGTACAAAATGTTTTACAGATGGCACATGTCTCCAGAAAGATTAGCTAAAATGTTTAAGGACAGGTCTATGAAATGTTGGAAATGTCATCAGATACCAGGTTCCTTCTACCATATGTGGTGGACATGTGTAGAAGCTAAAACTTATTGGAATATAATTAGAACATGGATAGAAAAGATGATACAACAACGTATAGAACTAAGACCAGAAATATTCCTGTTGGGTATTCTACCAGGGAAATAGAATAAAGAGAAAACATATTTAATTATTCATATAATTACGGCAGCCAGGATTGTTTGCACAAAATTGGAAAGCACTAAAAGCCCCCCCAGAGGGAGAGGTGATTGGGAAAATACTGGAATGTGCAGAAATGAATAGACTAACAATGACGATTAAAGATAAGACAGAGTCAGACTACTATGAAATCTGGGGAAATTTTTATGATTGGCTGAAAAGAGAATATGGTTAAAAGATAGTTAACATCAATTTAGATGGAAGAAGGAGCAGATAAGGAGGGAGACCCAGGGGACACAGTATTGAATAACTGGAGGTTGTATAAATATTTATAGAAGTATATACCAAGAAGGTTAGATAAATAGAAGCATTAATGTAAACGAAAATTAATCTTATTGTATATAATACAGATAGGGAAATTTGGAGAGAGGAGTTGCCCTGAATTGTATCTGAAGAGGGATGAGAGGGAAGAAAGGAAAGGAGAGAGAAAAGAGTAAAGGAGGGGAGAAGAAAGTAGGAAGGTTGAAGGAGAAGAGGAGAAGTGGGGAGAAAGGGGAGGAGAGTGATAAAGGAAAGAGAAGAGGAGAGGAAGAAGAGGGAAGTAGGGAAGAGAAGAAAGGGAGAAAGAAGGTAGAGAAGAAGAAGTGTGGATACAGTAAAAGGGGAAATGAGCGAGCAACACCAAAAGTCATGTGTATGTATTTATTTCATTTTATTAAAAGTATCTTATATATAAGAATGTAAAAAGAATGTATGTTAACATTTGATAAATATCACAGTATATGTATGGGGAAGAATTTGGAAAAATAAAAAATTATTAAAAAAAAAAAAGAATAGAAGTCCATTTTTTATTATCTTGCTTCCCGTAGATTTCAGCAGTAAATTTTCAGGGTACAGCAATCCCCCATCATAAATAAAACATAGCGTGATTAGAATACACAAGAAGACACTTACATTGCTTTGTGTAAGACTAAGAAATTAAGCATTTTGTTATTAACAAAAACAATTTCAGAATTTACAGTATAGCAACTTGATAAATGCAGGAAGTGATCGCTGAAGTGCTACAAGTCAGTTTCTCTTATATGAGATATTCTCACTGCATAGCTCGCTGCATTTGAAAACACTTCAACTAGGTTAAGAGACTTTCCTGAGCCACATCTTACTGTAGCATCTCCATACATGAGCACATAAAAAAGGAGATCAGGTAAAGTGGATATTATAATTTGTCAAGTTCCATATTAATATATAACACCTGAGATGATCAAAATACTGTCTTCACACATCTCACTCACTTCAATAACATGTCCCAAATTTTTAGTATCAAGTTAAATGATAAATGTTGCAAGACAAGCAGGTTTGCATCATTAATCGCTGCATATACAAAATGCTCACCTTATGCAGAAGATGAATATCACAAGCTGTTTGCCAAAGTACGCTTAGTGTCTGGTAATATTTTTTATCTGGAGGTTTTGCAACAAAAACCTGGCAAAGGCAGAAGCAGTAATTTTACATTACATTTCTGATTTTATTATGAAAACCTGAATCAATACTTGAAAGCCTCAGTGAGCCAAGAAATGTTAAAAAGTGAATGAAGGTATGCAAGACCGCTTGTTGGAGATTATGTTGGATGTGCCATATGTTGCTTTGTGTGTGTGTGTGTGTGTGTGTGTGTGTGTGCGCGCGCGCCTTAAAATCATTATTGACTCTTGGCAATTGCCCATGCAAGTCCTGCAGTATTCTTGGCAATAGGTGATAAAATCAACTTTATTTTTGCTAATATTTTCTTAGCTTCCTTCTTATAGAAATCTATTACAGTTCCAAAGATACAAAATTTTGTGTTGAGTATAATATTCTAATGATGTCTACATTAGTTATGTAACTGAATTAGCTGAAAATGCGAATATCTGCAAGCTCTAGCAGTAAAAGTCACAGTGGAAAACATGGGACTTATGATTAAATTTAAAGAAAACCTAACTAAAAACAACAGGTAGAACATCCAGCCTTAGAACTAACAATTCAATAGGTCTATGGAGATTCTCAGACATCCTGGTAATGGTTGTCTCAAAGGTATTTTTTCAAAAGGCAGTTGAACTTTTTTCCTTGAGAAAGACATTTCAATTCTTATCAAAGAAGCTTCTTGGATGAGAAATGAAACGTCTTCCTCAAGGAAAAAACAAATCCACTTGCCTTTTGAAAAAGCACCTTTGGGATGACCATTCAATACTGAAGTCATGAATACCTGCAAATCAAACTTTTAGAAATAAAAGTTACCGTAGTTCTAGAATAATTTTAATGAGAAAATGAGATTCATTTGGAATAGGACCAGAAATGAAACCTGCAAATCAAACTTTTAGAAATAAAAGTTAGTTCTAGAATAATTTTAATGAGAAAATGAGATTCATTTGGAATAGGACCAGAAATGATAGCTTGTTTTCCAGTTCATTATTTAAACATTAACTTGGACAGACTATTCTTGAATTGATAGGAGTTTGAACTGACTAATTATCTTTCAGAAAATTACCATAGCTTAACAGTTTCATTTAATTTCTTATAGTCTGGATTCAGTATCAGAGTGTGGCTCTAAAATACCTCCAGTTATTTGCAGAATACATTTTCCTCCATTTGCCTATTTCAGTGCAGAAATGCTCACTAAAATAAGTTGATCGTGAAAAATGTTGCCTATTTTTTCTATTTGAATAACACTGAAAATAGAATGGATTTTATTCAGTATCTCACAAAGAGGGTTTCCTTTTTCTCATTCCACATGGCAGAAAATGCAGTGAATATAGGGATTTTGCAATTCAGCAGTGTCAGTTATACAGGCCAGTGAACACTGTTAGATCTTCCTAAATGTTTCTTAAATATGAAAATCTACATATGATTTATACCCCTTGACTATAAACCATACTTTCTACTACCAATGTAAATTAGATTAGGTATGGTTATAACTTATTTCTATGTCATCTCTTATGTGAGAATATCTTCAAGATAACTCAAATAACACTGAAAAAATTAAAAGTATTCCTTATTTAACAACCAACTGTTCAGTTATCATTTGAAGCTATGACAGCGGTGAAAAATGGGTACCGATGACCAATCCTCATAGTTGCAGCGTCCCCATGGTCACATGATTGAGATTCGGGTGCTTGGTAACCGTCTTGCAATTATGACAAAATAGAATCCCGCACATGATCCCCATTTGTGTCCTTCACTGCCAGCTTCCAATAAGCAAAATAAATGGAGAAGATGGCAGGAGGGTGCAAATGATGATCACATGAAAACCACATGTAGTTTGCTTTAATGACAGCAACTGGAATTGTTGCAACTGCTGTTGTAAGCCAACACTTTATGACATTACGCTTTACCGATCACATGGTTTAGCAACAGTTGTCAGCCCCAGTTACTGTTGGCAAGCAAAGACTACCTATATAATAACACATTTTTATTGATACAGTAAAGGCAACGTATTACAACAGATCCTAAATTCAAAATAAACATTATAAATCCATCAATATATTTTAGAATTGTTTTTAAAATATCGTTTTGTTTTAAAAATAATTGGTTTCGTACTTAAGACAATACTAGAAATCAGGAGACTGTGCGTTCTAGTCCTGCTTTAGGAATGAAAGCTGGCTGGATGACTTTGAGCCAGTCACTCTCTCTCAGCCCAACCCATCTCACAGGATTGTTATTGGGAAAATAGGAGGAGGAAGGAGTTATTATGTCTGTCCACTGCCTTGAGTTATTTATAAAAATAAAAAAGATAGGATAAAAATAAATAAAATTTCAAAGTTAACTTACTAGCAATTTTTTTATACAAACCTTGTACAATCTTTCACTGACAAACAAGTTCAGTTCTATTCTTCCATAATTATATATAGAGCTGCATTCATATAAAAAATAAGTATATTTCCAAAGAAAGGTCCGTTCTTCTTTTGAGGGGACAATTCCAACCACTTTTAGAGGAATATCTGTTTTTAAAATAAATCATGATGTTTGAAAATTAGGACAAATAATCCTAAGTCAGCAATCTAGTATTAAATTAAAAAACTAAAAGCCCTTATAAGTAGAACACCATCCCTGACATTCCCTAAATTCTGCTGAAGATGTTACCTAGCCTACTAACAAAATGTTTGCAATCCAATCCACAAGCTCAAAGAAGAACCTCCACCCTCATCCTACACCCAAGCTACAGATATTCGCCACTATCACAAAATTAAAAACTATTATAAGCATAAGAGTTAGCTTCAGCAATATAACTATTAGTGTTCAGGACTATCATCTTCCTAGTTATGTTTTGTTCATGAAAGCCCACTTCTTATTCATATTCAAAAGTTTATTAAAAAGTTCTATCAGAGATGTAGCAAGCAGAAATAGCACCATTTTCACTGGTTATTTTATATCTATAGACAGCCTTCAAATTTGATAACTTCAAAAGAAATTATGGAATCCTTCCTTAGCATAATTTTCTTTAAATCAAGTCTTAATATTTTTCTGCTTCAGCATTTTAAAAAATATTTTGGACTAATGTGAAGATAATTTAATAAATGCCATTTTTCTTTTCATGTTATAATTTTTATATTGAAATGACTTAGTTACATGATTCTGTCTGAATGGGAGACACCTCAAATTCGTAAGATCAAGAAAAAGTGAATGTACAATTTAAATTTGTCAGTTTACAATAAACATACATGTATAGTAATTTACCTGATGTCCAAGGAACTTCGGAGATTCTCAGGTTGTTAAAAAGTGTTTCAGAACATAATTCACCCTTCAACAATGCATGTGGATTACCATCCAATTTTATGAAGCTGGAATGCACTACGTCCAATTGGCTTTCAAATTCTTTCTGTAGAGACTAAATACAAACATACAATTAGGGGTTAACCAGAACACCTGAAATAGCCTTTCTCTAGGGAATTCTATTCTTGTCAATTACTTTCTGCTTAGATTGTTGATATCACTCACACTGACCTGTGATAGAAGTAAAGGAAAGGTCTTCAAAATTTAATATTGAAAGAAAATTTTAAAATTGCATTTGCTGCAGTGGAAACTTACTGAGTGGAAAAACAAGCTTACTAAAGAAACAATGGATGGGAACCAGGAAAGGATAGCATAAAGGGAGGATGTAAGAGACACATGGAGACAAAATTGTTATCTGGGTCTTCAGAATGGGAAAAGGAGCTGTAAGAGGAGATAACTAACAAAACAGGAAAGAACCTATTTTTCTAAGAAGTCATAAAAAAGGGGTCCAGAACTCAGACAACTGAACATGTGCAATTAGTTGATTAATATTAACACCTTGCATAAATTATCACCTAATTTTAATGTACATGTGATGTATGATTTAGTATGTAGCAGGAAATATATAGGAGGCAGTTGGAAAGAGTGTAACCTCATAGTACCTCAGCCAATGGGGAAAGAGGAGGGATGTGGCGGCCAGGACAGGGTTATATAAAGAAGGGAATATTTTGGATTGAAACTTTGGAGAGAACCAAGCTTTGATAGCTTCTCTCCCCACTTATTGCAATAAATGAAACAAAAGGCCTTCCCTGTGTCTTGGCTAGTTATTGGTCAGGCGAGCTTGCCTCTGGTCATGAAGGAAAGTAGCCAGGAGCACATAACACCTGGGAACAATGGATGTCATAATCCAGAAATATCAGAAGGGTTTTCCAGCTTGCTTTAAGATGAAAATGCAGAGATTTATAATGGGATTAAGACAATACCTACCTCTAAGTTAGGAAGAAAGGATTTATTATTCTCTAGAGCTATAACATGGGCTCCAGTATTAAGCAGCTTTCGAGTCAACACTCCAGGACCTAAAAATAGCCATTGTTTAATACTCCATTCTAGAATTTATTTAAAAAGCTCTATTTTTATTTAAAAGCGAGATAGCAACCAAAATATTCTACTTGAAAATCAAAAAATGCACATTTATCTATAAAGATACATCAGGTATTGCCTAATCCTAAAAGGAGAGAAGAAATAAATATTGTTCAGCTGCCAATAATGGTATCTACCTTGATCAAGAGGCAACACTGCATGTAATCCCCGAGTTATGAGTGTTCACTTAACGCTCATTTGAAGTTACGTTATAAGTGCCCCTTAGTGTTTACAAGAAAATCCCAAAATTACGAATGTTCCAGCACCACGGCAGTTGTATGCCCTTACGAACGACTGCAGAGGCTCTGCAACATTCACTCTACCCCACCTGCTCCCCACAACTGTTTCCCCTTCCCCCTCCCTTCCTGCCGCCCCAGACTCACCTTGAAAAGATCTGCCTCCTCTCTGCTGCAATTTCTGTCACCGCTTCAGTTGGGAGGATGACAAGGAGAAGACCAGTCAGGATTTGGGCTACCGGCCAGTTAGGCAAGGAGTAGGTTGGGTGAGCTGAGGGCTGGGTGAGGAGGGGAAACCGTGGCCGCTCAGGTGGCTGCCGCTACTGCCAGCAGCTGGGACGCAGGTGCAAGGGGACACTCCCCGCGATGCCTGCCCACTCAGTTGAAGGCTTCATTCCTGCCCTCAAACTAAGTGCACCTGGGCCATGGACAGCATTGGTTTCTGCACCTGGCCAACTCCGATTTCATGCTTTGCCCCATAGGCAAGCAAATGAAGCAAACGCTCCTCCCCCCCAGAATGGAAGCTTCTGGGGGCCATGATCTCTTTTGAACTTGCATGATATTACAGCACCCAGGAGCCTCCACTGTCGGCGCGAAAAGCATTTCCAAGCCGACTCTACTCTCCCTCAAAGGGAAAGAAACCACAGCAGAGAGGATTTTTGCAAGGTAAGTGAGTCCGAAGCGGCAGGAAGGGAGGGGGAAACATGTGGTATCTTAGTGGGTCAGAGAGGCCTTGGGGGCCTGTTCCATCACTAAGCCCTCCATGGCCTCCCCCAACCTGAGATACCTCATGTGCACTTAATGAGCCACGTGAGCAGGGAGTGATCTCCTTCGAGGTAGAGATTCACTCCCACAAATTTTAGAGATTCACTCCCACAAGTTTTCGAGTTACGAATGGAATGGGCAGGCTCCATTACATTCTTAACTCAAGGACTACTTGTATTTAAAGTGTATTCTATTCCTCCAAGTGGTCACTCCCAATTCAATCTGCTATCAGAGAAATAGCTTTTGTGCCTCTGTTATCCCAGATATGTGTTCATGAAACCCTAAAATCTGACATAGTCTGACAATGATATGAAATAGCTAAATCCTGCTAGCTCTCAGTTCTTTTGCATGAAAGCTAGCAAGATATAGCAAGTTTCATGATATTTCAACCACTTTTTCATTTTAATTTTTAGTGCATGCAACAATACCTGAAAAATTTGATTCTTCAAGAAATACACAATATGAATTTTTAGTAATATAAAATTATTGTCATTTTAAAAATTATAATCTGTGGAGCTTTTGATCTTCTTAGCTTGTTTGTGTTCATTACCCAATTAGGTAACATCAGTGTTTCAGTGATAATGTTTTCTAGTTGGATAATGAAACGTCTGCAAGCCTCAAATTCAAAGAGCACCAAGCACTCCACAGTCCTATTCTGAGCTACGTACATTTTCTTTTATTGAAAATTATAATCTGCTGCAGGCCGATTGCTACTGCAGCACAACCGTCAAAATACCAAAGCTACCAAGCAGTAAATACCTAGAAGACGCCCTTTCTCTAACAGGTATTGCAACAAATCTGGTGAATTCCTCCTCACAGCTTTATGTCAACTTTATTATCATCATATCATCTTCGAGGTCACTTGCTTAACTTTTACCCTAAAAAAGCTCCCCTGAAGTAACGTTCACCTGCGTCAAATTCCATGAGAAAGGTTCTGGACTCCTCAAAATTTATCCCCCTCGTCACCTGGGAGGCCACTTTGTGCGCTAATTGGGGGCAGACAATGAAGCTTCGATCTGAGAGCGAATCCTGCTCTGCGTTTATGACCATCTCGGCGATTTCAGCTTCCAGAGAACAAGATTTTTCCAGGCTGCGGAGCCCGGATGTTACTCTCTGACCCTTCAGGCCCCGTACCGAGAACCGCAGCCCAGAGTGTAAAGTCGAGGCGACCACGGTCAACTGCCGTCCCATGAAGAGAGGGGAAGCCAACGCAACAAAAACCATCTTCACGCTTTAGCGCTGATTTTTACAAGGCGAGCGCCAATCCTTACTCACGTGGTGACCTTGCAGAATTCGACAGAGAGCACAGTTTGCACCCGGACAATTTTAGCGTCAGAACGTCACCGGCGGTTCCGCTTCCTCTGTTCCCGTGGTTGGCATTCTAGCCTTCTGTTTACATGGCACGGTCCTCTCTAGGCATCTGGTACTCTCTGGCTCATACCTTCGGCTTCTGCCGCTGTGCTCGGGAGTCTGCCGGCGGGCGTCTGGTTTCTTTGCGTCCCGTTCCTTCTTTCTGGCTTCTCGATCCTCATTTGGCTGTACCGGAGCTAGCGGTTCCCCGGAACTCTTGCGAAGTGGCCGCTGGCTGAGGTGAGAAGGAAAGCGACGAGGCTACTCTCCCGAGTTTACCGCAGCCCCGGGCGGGCGGCGAGCTGGCGAGAGTGAGGTAGCTGCGTGTTGCATCTGAAGTCTTGGTGAAGTAGAGCTGGTCCCGGCGGTAAGGGAGATCGAAAAACCGGATCGGATCGTTAGCAGGGTCGGGGATGGCGCGAGGATCTCTTTCGCCGCTTGGGCGGAGGGGAAGCTGGTTATTAGCCCGGCAGGACTAGGAAGAGCCGCCGGATGTTTGCATAAGAAGAAAACATTAGGGTTGAACGTGTCAGATTCCGGTCGTCGTAACCTTCTGCCCTTCCGTTGCTACCTTGTCGGTCTGGTATTCACTGTGGGTCAAGCCAGTCCGTGTATCTGGGTCGCATTGCGACCGCTTCGCTTATCAACACAGATTTCCTGCTTGGGTTGGCGGGAGAGGGAGAGAGAGAGAGAGAGAGAGACCGGGTTTTTTTTTCCTGCAAGTAGTACTCCCAAGAGTAAGGGGCAATCCACTCTGAAGCCTGGCTAAAGCGACTGTCTTGTTTATTATACTTGTGACTCATTCTTTGTCCAGAGGTTATAAGGACGGCTGTTGTGGGGGTTATTATCCCAAGATCAGTACAGTATGTCTCCTGTGGCAGGATTAGATAATCTTAGTGGTCCTTTCCAATTCTACAATTTCTGTGAGTCTATGATAATCTGTTAGTGTACAAAATTAAATCACATATTAATGGTTGCTTATTCTGATAGATCTGCAGCTTATCTACCAAGTTTCAAAAAGGTAAACAGAAAATACAGATGGCTTTTTAATGAAAGTAAGATGTATGAAGAAGATAACCTCTGGAGGTTTGAAGGAGATACACACACACATACATACATACACAGTTGACATTGTTCAAATGCAGTGTGCACACTTTATCCTGCAGGGGTGCTTCTGTATAAATCATTATTTGAAAACATGAACATCATAGGGGACAGTAACAGACTATAATTCAGTCTTGAATTATACATATATTTCCTAGCTTTTGTCAATGAAGTATTAATAGAGTTTACAAAAAATCTTAAACTAAAAGGCAATTTGCTACTTTGTAATTTAGAGCAGCGGTTCTCAACCTGTGGATCGGGACCCATTTGGGGTCGAACGACCATTTCACGGGGGTCGCCAAACAACGCAGTTTGCCATTTTTTTCCCCTTTCCTTAGCTGTGCTACTCCATTTTATTCTATTGGCTTTGGAAAGCCTATAGAATAGACTCCCTTGAATAGAGTCTAATTCTATTGACTTTCAAAAGCCCATAGGAATTGTCCAGGCTGTCTCTGCCCTGCTGAGCCCGCCAAAAGTCCCATTCTGCAAACAGTGCTGCAAGTTGTCTGCAGCGAAGGTGAGCTGTCTGGAAGTTTCCACCCCTCCCTGCTGTAGAGCTACTAAAAATGTAAGTAAAAGAGGGCCAGAGGTGGGAGGCCGGCGGGCACAGGGAGGGTTGCTGGTGCGCGTGGGGCCCGGCGGGTGCCTTACCTGCCTTGGGCTGGGCCTGCTGGTGGCCCAGCCGGTGGTCGGCCTGCGCCGTCTCTGCCGCTTGCCAGCTACGCCTCGGCCGGCGCAGGGGGCGGCACCACGCATGCGCGGCACTCCCGGGCAGGGAAAGTCCTCGACTTATGACCGGTTGGGTAGTCCTCAACTTACGACCGGTTGGGGGTCACGGCATTAAAAAGGTTGAGAACAACTAATTTAGAGTATCATGGGAACCCAGGCAGTATTTTCAGTTTATGATGCTTTATGCATTATGATACGTTTGATCCAGCCAATTGATTTAGTAAACCATGGCACACTTAATCATAGTTTACTGTATTTTGCAAAAAGGGTTCACACATGTAGATCTTCCTTTGTGCATGCATTTCTCAAAGGTTCAGAGAAGCCCAGGCTATTTCCAGATTTTAAAATTAAAATAAGGCACCAAGAAAAGGTGAGCGTTGTTTGAATATTTTTGAAATAAAAAAGGAGATACAAAACTGTTCAGATTTATGGAGCCACAAATGGCCTTCTGCCCTCTTCTAACTGATCCTACCTTTGGGTCTAGCACAAAAACAAAGAACATTGATAGAAAAAGAAATCCCTTCCCCTTGTATCAAGCTGTACAAATGCTGTGGTTTATTGGAAGGCAAATGGAGTTTTTAATTTTTATTTTTCTAACCTCCACTGCATTGTAAACTTTGTACCTTATTAAAAAGCTGTTTCAATTACCTTGAAAATTATTCACAATCCTTTATTACTTACATTGAGGTTTTCCTTTTGTTGGCATTTTTTTCTTTGCTAGGTCAATTTTAAGATTAATTAAAACCAGAAATGTTTGTAGGGTGGCATTGCTAAATGGATAAATCATTTCTGAATATTGTATTTATATTCATGGTTTGTTGTAAAAGTTTGGACATTATTGAACCATATCACTTGTATAAATGTGCCAAATATTTGACATAGAACTTTTTTTAAAATTTGAAAGTAAGGGCTTTCCCATTTGAGTAAGAAATAAGTTTAGTTTCAGAGTTGGCAATCTTAAAGTAGAGTATCATATGTGTCTTGGTCTTTTATGATGTATATGTATTAAGGTGTATCTGCTGGCTGGAGCTAACTGATTCATTTTGTATCTAATTGCATCAATGAACAATTTTAAATTTTATATTCTGAAAAAAATGGATTTAAGTTAACTCTGCCCTATCATCAAAACAGAAATCTCTTATGTAACAGGATAGACTCCTTAAATGAAATAATTTCATACCTTGGCACTTCTACAAAGACCTGCCCTTCTCACATTATGATTATGATCAAGTTTCCAGTTGGTAAGGAGGAGATGAGTGATCCTTAATGCTTTCCATTCTTTCTTTCTTTTTTTTAGATAGCTTGTTTATTTAGAAAGATTTTTGCTTTCTGAAGAAAGTCAATAAAGTTACAGTAATTTATGAAGACTAAAGATTATATCATTTTAATAAATCAAAAAGAATTGGCACTATGTTCCACTAATTCTGATCTTCTTGTGGCAGATTTCTAATTAAGGCATTTATTATTTAATGTATTAACATTTATATTTCTTACTTTTTTGGCAGATAGAATTGATGCTAGATAACTCTGCCTAAAATGATAATCTCCTTTACCCAGCAGTATGTTTAAGAAGTATTTTACTTTTACAAATATGGTAAGTGCTACTCTTGAAAATAGAAATAAATAGAACTTAAAGCAATTGAGAAAATTCAGACTATTTTTTAAATATAAAGAAGCACGAACATCTTATTTTTACAGAAGGGAATTTTTACAGAAGGAAATTGGAGTACAAAGTGGTATACATAAGGCTTTCTTTTCCAATTTTTCCCCCACAACCACCACCCTTTAAAGTGAGGTGGTGCCTCTGGCTGGAGTATTATGACCTGGCTATCATTTTCTCACTGTTTAGGATTCTGTAGGGATATAGATATGGATACACACACAAACACACACACTAGTTAAATATTGAATATGTGTTGGGTGTGTTTGCTTTAAATTTTGTTAGTCAATTTTAAGGCTTGTCGGAACAGTACAACAGGGTAAAACTCAAGTAAACAAATACATAAATAACTTTCAAATCAGTAAAAAAAATACAGAGAACCTTTTATCCATTAAAACAGAGGTCTCCGGTCCGTGGACCGGCACTGGTCCATGCAAACAAGCAAAGCCCCATCGGTGGGATGCAGGCAGCACACGAAACCACACCCCCTGCAGTCCACGGAAGAACTTCTCCCCACAGAACTAGTGTCTGGTGCCTAAAAGATTGGGGGGCTCTGCACTAAAAGATCCCATTGACAGAAGAAGGAAGGAGCTATCTTTCATATTTTTTCCTTCGTTTATAGTATTCTGCCTTCCTCTGAATTGTCTATAACAGATTTTATATTGGAGGGGGGAGGTAAAAACTGAAGAGGAAATTAGTGTAAAGTTGTATGCGTTCTTCCATTGTAGGTGCGCAAGCAGTAAAAAGAAGGGTGAGATATATCCAATAAAACATAGTTAATAGGTGGCTTCATTTACAAGCCAGCATTTCAAATGAAGTAATTAAAGGAGTTTTAAATGTAGATTCATAAAAATAAACTAATGGTAGTGCCTATTTGTATACTGTAGTGAGATAGGCAACAAATACATAAATAAATGCTATTTAAAACAAGAAACAATCTAAATTTTGGTTTACTGATCAGTACAACAAACAAAAGCATGCTTTTGCCTTATTTGTTATAAGGAATTAGAATTGAATATGTCAGAAGAAAGAAAAGTTAGTGGGAGTGGGAGAGCTACGGTAAAACAAGAAGGAAAGAAAGTCAAGAATAAATGAGTGCTGAATGAATGTAAATTGATGTCAGGTTGAGTGACCAGAATGCTAGAAATATATTGAGGCAGTTAAATTATAGAGAGAATATGAATTGCAAAACATTTCCTTCTGGTTACTCATTGGCAGGATTTAAGTCCTAAGCCTTTTCTTCTCACTCTTTCATGTTAATAGACTTCTGGTCATTATTTCCCCAGCCTTGAGATTGGAAAGCACCTGTTCAGTCTTTACATAGCCAATTTTGATTGGCTTCATCAGCACTGGTTGCCCCTTTTCCAGCTTACGCCCTTATGTATATATGTGAAGGAAGACTGAATTAATTGAGAGGAAACAGAAGAGGAAAGAGTCATGGCTAGATGGAGTCAATGAGATTATCAAAAAAAGAGGTAAGGAATTTAAAGAACAAATGACAGTATATTAAATGATTTATAAGGAACAACAAATTGTGGCAATGATATCAGTGTAAATAGCATTTCCTCTCTTTTGTCTTTTGAATGATTTCTCTGTTAAAATGAATTGGAATTTGTGTATTGATTGAAAGAAACAGATTGACTGTCTGAAACAAAAAAGGCAAATACAGGTGGTCCTCTTTTAGTGACTGCCTTGTGTAGTAACGATTTACAGTTATGACAGTAATGAAGCAATAACTTTGCAAGCATTTATGACCCTCAGGTCTATAATGCAAAGGATAATTGAAGTAAGATTATAAGCACAGTTTCACTTAGTGACTGCTTTGCTTAATAATCAAGTTGATGGTCCCATTTGTGGTTGCTAAGCAAGGACTACCTTTTTTTTTTCAAGAAAACTTCATTTGCTGTGGCAGAAAATGATTTGTTTACTGAAACTGTACATAGCAGCTTTCCAAATTCAATTTAATAGAAGTTTTAACAATGGGAAGATAAGCAATGGTTCCAGGAATGTGGCTTTAAATTTTAGTTGATTTTCTAAAAGGAAATTTAATAAGAATAATGTTGACATTTATTAAAAAAAAAACTTTGATTTTTCTAGTAGTGTAATTGTTAAAGATTAAAGAAAATAACCTGTACTTGGAAAGATAGATGTTTAATTCTACTTACATATAGAAATATGTAATTATAAGCTACATATGCAATAGATTGTAGTGTAATACAAATATTATTAGATAAATAAGTTAATATGTTTATTTCCCAGATAATTGAACATTTCCCTTTTTGCATCTCTTTTAAACAAAAAAAAAATCACCTCTTTTTCCACCTGTTCTTTCTTTTCACTTCTTGTCTACTCTCTACCTCATTTTGATGCTAATACTTGGAAACCTTTTTTACCACCATATATGGGAGTAGGGACAGGAGAAGAGTGGATAATCACACCATAGAGGGAATTAATATTTCCATTCTAATTCAGCTAGATACTTACAAGAATAGAAATAGATAGATAACCCTTACTGTCATTTTTTTTTTCCTGTAGGCACAATGGCACACATTAAAAATGAATTTTTTGCATGCAGAGGTCAAAAGCAACTCTAAATATCATCTCTAAATATTAGTGACAGTTATAGTCTTACATGTATTCAAGTGATTAAAGTTTCACACGTTTCAGTCTTTTTCCTGAAGTTTTGTAGTTTTCCCCACAGGACGGTCTATAAAGATATGCTACTAACCTTGGTACACAAGTCATAGAGGCATAAGCTTCTCTTATTTTTTGTTCATTTTTCTTCTAAACTATATGTGTCACAGAGTAACATTTTCACCAATACTAAACAAGAGTTAAGATTTTAATCACTGGAGGTTTGGATGATATTTGAAGGTATATCTGGACTGCAGACATTTGTACAGGCTGGGCCTAGGTGATTTTCATAGAAAAATAAATGCAGCACATTTAGAATGTAATTGTTTTGAAAGCATTTGATAGATCCAGCGCTATTTGGACATATCTTTTACACTACAAGTAGTCCTTGACTTACAGCTATTCTTTTAGTGTCCATTTGAAGTTACAATAGCACTGAAAAGGTGACTTATGACAGTTTTTCACACGACCGATACAGCATCCCTATGGTCACATGATCAAAATTTGGGTGCTTGGCAGGAACATAGAACATAGAATGACAAACTTTTGTTAAATTAAACTTATTTTTAAATAGGTTATTTGTAAAATATGGATACAGCCAAATATCCCAGCTTTTAGATTATATATATTCCTGACAAACAATATCGCACAATTAGGAAGGAAAAACCGTTTTTCTTCATAAGTTCTAAGTTATTGGAATTATTAAAATCACTTTTGCCAAAGTTAAAAAAAAAATTCAAGTAGTCACTAGACAACTCATATAACCTCTTGGATCATCCTTTCAGAAATATTTTCTGACCAGATTCTTCAATGTCTTCACAGTGACAGAACTTCTAATTTACTGCCTTCACTGGAAATACTGAGATACATTCAGAGATGTATCTACCTTGAAAATAGCTCATGTTGAGCTGTATAGCAGAGTCTAACATCAGCACAGCAAATGTTTTATGATATTTTGTAATATGTCATTAACTGCTTTGTAATTATTTATGTTATAACTTGTTTTACAAAATTTGCCAAAATTCAATTCCATGGGTTCTGGATTTGGGATGCATTCTGTAACTTAGCCCATTTCAGGTATCTTGGTTGAAAAAGTTTTGCCTTTTGGTGCATTATCAGAGTTTTAATACTATAGCATATTGATGTCAGTCCAATACAATAAATAATATTATGATTATGTTACAAATAATTGTTTGAATGGATAGATTATTTTTTTGCCATGTTAATTGGAACTTGTAATATCCATATCCTCAAGTAGGTATATTTCGTAAGCTATCTTGAACAGCAGATTTAACAAGGTACTGTTTATTCAGTAGATAATACTTGTCTCCTTGGCTAACGAGGAGTTACAGGAAAGAAGATAATATAGAAAAAGTAAGAAAAAGAAAAATAAGATTAAATAAGTCTTAGTACAAGAACTAATAAATATTGGACATGTCTGGTTAGAAGGAGTATTTTTAAAGCATACAAAAATGGCATTAAGTTATTGAATTAAATAAAAAATAACGTGGGGTAAAATATTTTTTTAAAAAGCATTTGTCTTTTCAGTCTGAATATTTAGGTTGTTAAAGAAATATTACTACAAAATAACTATCAGAATAACTCAGTAATGAAATGGATAATTGGTTTAGCATTTCATTGTTGCTTATACGTTGCCAAAATTGATATTTGCCCCAAGACTTTTATTAAAGACTCTTTACTGAATATTGTGTACTCCTTGCTTCTTTGATCTTACCCAGCAATGATAATTGATAATTAATTTTTGTCTTGAAAACTATAACAGAAACTTTTAACCTGTGTGATCATTAAGACAGAATCTCTTTCAAACTTTTTTCCCTGTTCCTTGACAGCTACCAATGAACTCACCTTCCATGTCTTGACTGTTTATATCAACTTTCCATTATTTTCCTAGCCTCCCACAGTGTCTCACATCTAGTATGACTCTGTGCATGTTGCTATAATGTTATGTTTTTATAACTATACTGACCTACCTTGTCTGGGCTTGGCAGCTAAACAGGATGTTGCCTGGTTGCAATTTAGATGAGAAATCCCTCAGGAAATGCCAGAGCTGTAGGCTAGGTAGGGAAGTTGAAAAAAACATTGCAGAACAAGGCAGTGACAAACCATTTCTGTATTATTGTCAGGAAAACAACATGGACATGTCTATGTAAGCACCAGGAACTAAATTTGTCTCAAGTAAATTTACATGTTATGAATCAAAAAGATACACAATTTAACAATCTGGAACAAACCAATAGCAAATCAATTCTGTCTTTTTGCTCAGAAAACATATGGAATATCCATGAAGTTACCAAGACTTGAGCTGAACTCAAAGGAAACTTGATTTTACCGGCAGCAGGTAATTTAGCTCTTACTACTGTACTTTCCTATTTCTGAACTTAAAAGGTTGGGAACTTAATTTAATAGTCAATAAATAATATATGAACAATCTTCTCCTATTTATGACTGGAAGTATTTTCACTATGAAATTAGTGACTTTAATTAGGAAATAGTGCCAGTCTTTTATCATAGTGAAAATAATTTAATCTTCAAATTTATCATATGTTCCATTATTTTAACCACAGATGCTCACTTCTACAGTCCTATTGGATTTCATCTTTGAAAGGCAAATATTTAAATATTTCTATTTAATCTTCCCCATTTTAGAAAGAACATGAAAGTTACATTATAGAAGATGTGGAGTTTAAAGTTTACAAAGTGCATCTCAGATGGATAATTAATTGCTTAATGTAAGAACTAGCAAGGCAATTTTACTAATTATAATGTAAGCTTTTCTTTGTTTAGACAACTTGTTAAATGTTAGATTCTCAATTAGTGTTTCGGTTTGGCTAATTACAACATTCTAACTTTCACAAATGCACATCTGTAGATATATGAATTTTAAGTCGTTGTCTTTGAAATAACTATACTTTTTAAAGAAAAAGCTATTTCATATTTATAAAATCTGATGCTTTTATTTCACAACTATGAAATGCTACTTATCTATAATGATAGAAAGCTAATTCCATTCTACAATCTTAGCAAAGCTTGTTAGTGAAGATATATTACTAACATCTCCATTGTTTTGGGTTTTTTTTAGTGCTGAGAGTTATTTGGACAAAGTGGAAATAAAGTTCATTATAATGGATGATAGAGAATCTCCTACAAATGATCTTCATTTAAATTTACAAGATGTACTTCATACTGACATACATGAAGAAAGGATCAAAAGTTGCTTGGCTTCTTCTCCAGATGAAAATGAAAATCAGTGTAAGAGTAGGAAGCATAATACTGTGAAAAACTCTCATAACACAATGGGAAGAGTTGAGCAGGACAGCATTAATAATAACGAGGACAGTGGAGACTATACTTCTTGCTTCCAAGAAGATGAAAGTGATAGGCCATGTAAAAGTTTGAAATCAGACATGCCACAGAAGCTTGGTTCTGAAAAAAAGAATCCAAGAAAAACAAAGAGTCCTAGCAGGAAAGGCAAGTGGTTTCCTAAATACACATGTATTGATGGGATAAGTTTGCTCAATTTCCTTGAACTATTTTGTATTTGTACATTTGACTACACTGGGCAAAAATGCTTCAAATTTTCTTTTAGAAATTTCTGTCTAAAGTCATACAGAGGATTGATGAAAGCCACAACAATCTCAACTATTTCTCCGAACCTAACTTCACAAACCAGATTTACAGCTCATCCTCCTGCCTCCCAAGCTCGTTCCCACATATCATTACAAGCTGCCACCCAAATGCAATACTCACTATGCATTCTCCTCTTCTTCCAGTCAGATCCCACTCTCACTCGAGCCAATAGATGTCTCAAACCTAATTACTATCACGGCAAAGGCATGCAGAAGTCTCCATCTCTCACAAGGGAGAGCAACTGCTTTGCCATGACTCCACACACCCAATTCATCTTTATCAATAGAACCACCATGTCCATGATCTTAACAGTTCTCAGTCACTGGTCCCAAGCTCATGGAATAAAAGGGCAGGTCCCATTGTGGATAAACGGCGGGTTAAAGAATAGAACAGAAAGATGAGGAATAAATAGACATTTCTCACAAAAGAGGTATTGTAGTTGGGTCCTCTGGGGTTCTACCTTAGGGTCAGTGCTTTTTAACACATTTGTAAATTACTTGGAACTGGACATGACTAGTAAAATAGTCAGGTTTGCCGATGCCACTAAATTGTTCAGAGTGGTGAAACAATAAGAGACTGAAGAATTCCAAAGGAATTTCTGCAAATTAGGAGAGCGGGGACCAAAATAGCAAACTTCATTCAGCAAGGGCAAGTGTAAAGTGATGCACATTGGTGTTAAAAATCCTAGCTATTCCTACAAACTAATGAGACCAGAGCTAATAGTGACAAATGAGGAAAGAGATCTTGAAGTAATGGTAAACAATCTAATGAAGTTGAGACAATGTGTATCCACTGTTCAAAAAAAAAAAAAGATAAGCAGTGTGTTAGGGATAATAAGAAACAGTATTGAAAATAAAGATCCTTGTATCACAATACTAGATCTGCTTGATCCATACTTAGTGCTTAGCTCTCACCTGTGGCCCCAAGTAGCTGTACGCATGCAGTGGCCAGACCCCAATAAACTGTCTTGGCAGATAGGCCAAACTAGGTGAAAGTAGCTGTTTCACTTAGAGCTGCATCACACACAGGTTTCTGTTGTGCAATTTATCCTCAACAATTCATCTGCAAATCATATCAGTCCAAATCTAATTCATTAGCACTTCCAGACAAGGACTCCAGAGCCATCTTTCTGTCCAAGTGTAGTAATTCTTTAGCATTCAAGTAGAGCTGATATGTACAACATCGCGTCTTCTTTGAATCTGAAGGGCAACCATACGTAATGAGGCTTTTTTGCCCCACGCTTACCACTATACCCCTTATCAACCATCTCCTGTGGGGCATAGAATCTTCAGGAAAAACGTGGATTTACTGCATGAACCGCATTGGAGGGGGGGGGACACAAAACACTCAGGAGGCAATGAGAAAGAAAGATTTCGTTTCCCACTGCGACTTTTTGTGTCATATCTACATTGTCCTGGGAAACTGACCATTTAAAATAACTTCAGGGGTTGAGAGGAGACAAAAGTTTATGTCAGCAGATCTATGTTTGTATCTAATTTGAAATAATCTGGGGTATATTTTTCTGACATTACTGTTCTTAAAAGAAAAACCAATTATTTCTTTTAACATTTCTGCAGCCAAACAAGAGAAAGCTGACTTTACATCAGTGTCTTATGTGCAAGGGGCAGATGGAAACAAGACAAATTCAAACCATCCTCTGAAAGAACCAGCTCAGACTTTACAATTAATCTTCTCTCTTCTTCAAGAAGAATTTAAGGAAATGGATTCAAGTGTACTTCCCCTCTTCCTGCATCAGGTAGTAAGAAGATGTTAATTATCTTTTTTTTTCATATTGTTGATGTTGATATTCTTTATCCCATTAATTTCAAAATGTATAAGTAAAATCTCTGCACATAATTTTAAATATTGTCTTATTAGAATCTGAATCTATTGCTCAGGGGCGATACGTTTATTCTGTACTGAGGTTTTCAGTTTCATTTCACATCACTTCTGTTAACAGAATCAAGTGGCAGATATCGGCTCTACTTGAATGCTAAAGAATTACTACACTTACTAAGAGATCAGGCATAGGTAACCTGCTACTCCTATGCACTTTCATTTGTGCTCTCCAAGCTCCCTGCCATCCTTGCTGTTTTTAAAAAGCCTTGTAATTCAATTAATAACAACAGCTGGCATGCTGCAAAGTATCAAACTCTTGTATGATATTTATCTATAGTTAAGCTGCACAAAGATCCCACAAGATAATAAAACATCCTAAGGGTTTAGTTCAAAATGTGGTAAATTGATATTTGTAACTATGTGAGTATTGTAACTTTGTGTGAGTGAGCACTTTATACAGTCTCACTGGTCCAAATATGTCTGTAGTTCAAAATAATACCCGTGTAATAAAAAAAGCAAAGTGTGCTGCATTAAAGGAAACAGCACTTGGTTAGGTGCAACGTGATGCATAAGGCAGTGCTCTTCTGAATGTCCTTATGGACTATATCTGGCATTTGTATTTTTTTTTTTAGTGTGCCAGGTTAATCTTAATAGTTCAGTTTGGTTTTTCAAGCTTGTATAATTTTATTAGTATATCATTAATTTTCTGACCCCTACAGGCAGGAATAACGTATAATAAAAATATATTAAAAGTTTTTTTTTCCTTTTCTTTCTTTGCAGATTGCTGAAACTTACTTTCAAGATGGAGAATGTATCCTTTTTAAAAAATACAACATTGAATGTGGACCGATATCAAAATACAAACATATAGCTGTGGACTTTCAACTACAGTTCAATAAAACCAAAATTCTTCTTAACACTTACGCTTATTTTGATTTATTAATGCTGGGGGAGATAAATAAATGCTAATTTTCTGAAATATATGTAAGCATGGTATTCAAGAAGGCACACTGTAAAAATTCATTGTATGTTTAGAAAGTGTTTCATGTTTAATCATTTGAACCTTTGTTCATTGTGGTAGCAAGATTTTTTTTTTTGCTGTACTTATACTAATTTCACCGAATACAATACTTTCTGTTGCATTTAAATTCCGAGGCCATATAATTAATCATTCTATATCCTGCTCTATATCTCAACGCATATATGTGTTTTATATGTATTCAAAGCCTTCACCTTGGAGATTTTTGTCAGGAAGGTTGCTCCATTGCACATGCTCAAAAGTTTGCCCCTTACCATCTCCTCACTTTTTTTATTGTCATAGCAGTATGTTTTAAGAGTACTTCTTGGAAGTTTCTCTGCACTTCTTGGAAGAGTAAAATTAAGGACTTTATTCATTCCTATTGACTCTCTTTCAGTTGAAAGTCGGAACCAATGTTGATTCTTCTCACCCAAAAGCTGTGACCTTAAATGCTTTTATCAATGATTATGCTCATTCACACAATGCTTCTGCGTTCAGGTACCTGTTGAAAGAGCATTATGAATTGCAAGCTACCTTTACAGGAGTTAAATGATCTTGTGACTGTTCCAGACCATTGCTGTATATGAAACAACAAAATCAGCAACCACCATGGCATTCTCATTCCACAGAATTTGCCATAATCAGTCTTAGATTATGATTAAGAAGCCTTGTCTTCCTTTATTGTGCTTTCCCATGCCCCTAAACAACCAAGAACTATCATGATCTAATGTTTCAAGCCATATGCTTGAACCCAAAGAAGAAAAAGCAATTGTCAGGATTTGCAAACTGAGTATAGCCTATTAACTTCAAAGCCTAATCAGCAATACTGGGAAACTTATCTGCACCCACATCAAATTTTCCTCCTATCATAAAAATGATGCTACTTTGAAAATGTATCTATCAGTCTGTATCTGTATTTTCCTTCATTTTCCATTTAGATGAGAAAGCAATGAAGTTCATCTGGCTTGAACAATTGTATCACAAGCAGTTGCTTACAAATCTCTCTTCTCTTCAGCAGCAGTGGGGTAAGTGTGTCATATAGTGGAAAATTATATGTCAGGTAAAACTTGAGAAATGTCTTCATTTTCTGTTGTAATGCATTGATTACCAGAAGGTTATGAGCACAGCAGAATAATTACTTACATTGTGATCTATGACTAGGACTTCATCAAAATCTTACAAATGAATGAGAAATTCTGATTAGACAAACAACAGTCAGAAATATACTGAGTCGTGACTTTTTGAACACATTGAACCAACATTCACTGGGATGGGACGAATCCCATAAAATTTTCATTAAAAAGGGGCATTTTTATTATTCTGCTTTGATGATTAAAGACCTGTAATATTTGTTTTTTTATTTTTCTATATTTCTGAAATATTAAATCATTTATTTTTTAACATACATGTGTGTGTTTTTAATAGAAACAAAATGGAAAGCAACAATGTGCAATGAGGTTTCAAATCTAAAGAATTCTTCTAAAGAGCTGAATAATGAAGAGCTAGACAAACTTGCTGAATTTTGCACATCTCATCAAGAGTAAGTGAAAAACATTATATGTACATAATAAAATTATACACTATTAGTCCACATTTTTTCACAGTGAGTTCTACATGTGATAATTCTTTTATATCCAAAAGTTGGATATTATCAGTGAACTCTTAATTTTATACAGTGTATAGAAAATAGCTTGTCATTTAATTGCACTGCCCAAAGGTGTTCAAAGCTATAATATTAGTTTTCAGATTAAATATCTTTTTTCATTTTGCTTGTCCTATATTTTCAGACTATTGTTCTATTAAATAAATACAAATAAAGATAATCTCAAGTCAAATCACTTCCTGGTTGTTATATCATTATAATTATAATTACATTATAATTACTACCTTTTTTTTACTTTGATTTAGATTTCTTTAACTTTCTAGTATACTCTACGAACTGATTACAAGTTGGCAAAATTGTAATGAGAAATGAGATAGGCCTCCACAGAGCAGACAGCACTATTCTGAAGGTTTTCCTAAGCATTGTGACAATGGCCTATGCCCTATGCATTTTAGAGAACAGAGTGAGTGGCTTTCTTGTGAGGTTTTAAAATAAGTCTTTCAAAGTATCCTGTGCTATTTAGAGACTAGCATGAGCAGCCCTGGAAAGAAAGCTTGGTGCAGCCAGCACCTGCCTCACATAAGGACAGACCAAGTATATCTTTAATTTTGATCATGTGACCACAAAGGTACTATAACAGTCATAACTTTGGGGGCTAGGCATAAATGCTATTCATTCAGCACTGCTGTAATTTCTAATGGACGCTAAACAAAAAGGTTGTAACTAAAGGACTACCTGGTTTTCAAGGCTAGAAATGCTGGTGTCCTAATAAAAGCTACTGTACATTTGATTACAACTTTGTTAAAATATAAGCAGAACTTCTTGGATTGTAGAATCATAGATTGGAAGGATTAAAGGGATTTTGGAGATCATCTACTGTACTTCAATCTCTTTTCTTAGGATTACCTTTAATTTTTTTGCAGCTGCTTCTTCCGCATCTAGGTCAAACCTTAGACTGCCAGAATGAAGCCATTTTCTTAGCTTCATCGTTGGCCAAAAATAAGTCATTATTGGTACATATTTCTGGTAGTATCTGACATGGTAGCAGATGGGCTGGGCTCTGCATCTCTCCACATCACACAGTATGTTACCTGCTAAGAGCCTCCATTTGAGCATATTGGTTTTACATGTAGGTAATCCAGCCCTCAGCCTTTTTTTGCAAGGAAAGAAAAAAATAGATGTATTGATCTTAATTTCTTAGAAGAAAGTGAGTTTAAAAATAAATAAACAAGCAATCAGGCAACTTAAATTGTGATAAAATTCAACAACACAATTCTATTTAACATTCTTCTGGTTTTTCATTTTTCAAATCTGAGGCTTCAGTAGATAACCCAAGCCATGCAGTATATTTGACATTCCTTGCCATACTTGAGCCATTGTAGAATCAGTGTTTTGTAAACGTTCTGGAGTAGTGATGTGATTGCTGGATTAGAGCCTTGGGTCAGTTATCCTATCAGCATGTAACTCACTGTGTAATCCTTCACCATATCTCTCTGCTTATCCTGTTTCTCTGACTTTGCTTGAAAGAACTGCAGTCTGAGTTCCTTAAAGGAAGAGGAAGCATACAAAGATAAAATATCAGAGTAAATGTATAGGGTGGTACTAGAAGAAACTGTATTTTGTCACACACAAGTCTGATAACGTAGCACAGGATTGCATTTTATACCACCTTGCCCATGTTTCCATGAAGTCAACAGATGTGATTTATCAGCCATACATTTTTAATTTGTTCATAAAAACATGAATGGTATAAAATACAAGAAGGAGCTATAGGAAATGTTGGTGCAAATTTCTCTCCTGATCAAGATGCCAAAGAGCCTTGGTTTTTGTCAATACACTGTACATATAGTCCTTGTTTAACAACCACAATTGGGATTAGGATCTCAGTCACTGAGTGAAGCAGTTATTAAGTGAGATATCAGGTAATCACTTCACTCAACAACTGTAGTCTTGGGACTCCCAGTTGCAGTTGTTGAATTATCTTGCAGGTTGTTAAGCAAATGGCGTCCCAGGTAAGGAGGGTGTAGAGCAGTGTTTCTCAACCTTGACAATTTTAAGGCATGAGGACTTCAACTCCCAGAATTCCACAGCCAGCAACGCTGGCTGTGGAATTCTGGGAGTTGAGGTCCACATGCCTTAAAATTGTCAAGGTTGAGAAACACTGGTGTAGAGCCTTAGGAGGGTGGGAGAAACTCTGGGAGGCCCAGCACAGGCTTACATGATAGTCTCTGCTCGGGAACTGAGAATCCTCCCTGTCAAAATCCAATCAGGATTTTCAACTGTACCAGACCTCCCCCCACCCACCTGAGGCACCTTGTGCTCCTTACTGTATCTTACTATGCTGCCTCTCTGCTCGGGAGTTAAATCCTCCCTGCCAAATTCCAAGCAGGATTTTCAGCTGCCGAGTAGGGAGACAATTGTGTGTGGCAGGCACCAGACCGCGCAGGGCCTCCTCTATCCCAAGGGACTCTTTAGTCCATACTGCCTCTCCGCTCTGGGTCTATAAAATCTGCTTGGATTTTGGAATGGACTTTTTTCAGTCAGCCACCATAGACAAGAGAACTCTCTCATTTCTTGGGGCTGGTTGCAAAGAACCCATTCTGCAAATACTCTGTGCCAAAATTCTGCTTGAATTTTTGGGACTGTTTTCAGCCACTTCCCAGAAATGAGACAGGCACGCAGCAGTGGTTTGGCCATTGATTTTCTGGGAAAAGGAAGATTTCAAATGGCACTCACATGATCGCAAGGAGCTTGGCAACCAGTCGTAAGTGTATACAAGTGCCCAAATCCACAATCACGTGTTCATGGGGGCACTGCAGCAACTATAATTTGGGTCATAAGTCCCTTTGTTCAGCATCCGTGGTAATTTCAAATGGTCATTGAATGAACTGTCATTAAGCCAGTAGTATATTCTCTCTCTGCACTTTCCCCACAGTAAATCAGAATTCAGGGCCTTTGGCTAATTCTTGGTTGATTTCAGTTTAGGGCAATTTTTTATAAAGTTGGTATTTTTATATAAACTCAGGTTGTAAGGGCACTTTCAAGATCTTATATTCATTTCACTATTTTTATAGCCGCCTGGGCTGTCAAATGATAATTTGTACAGTAAATTGTCATTAATATTAGTATGCTCTGGCTCTGTGCTTTAAAACTGGTGGTATAGATAGTATTTCAGTCTTGTAAAGCCCTGTGCTAATATTAGAACATGGAAAAAACAGATCTGATTTGTTCTCTAGTTTTGATGACGTTTGTTTTAAAGAATATTTTGGTGAGACGTGCTGTTTATTTTTAATTTTCTTTTGTTTTTGGGTTCCAGGCCACTTGTCTCCAGAAGCAAGGTAAGCTATGATTTTTTTTTTCTTGGCATAGTTTTGCTATTAAATGATTTGAGTATTCTTTACAAGAATTTACTTTCCATAACATGTGCAACATAAACATAAAAACAAGGATATTTATAATGTAAATGTTATTTTACTTTTCAGCTCATAAATAAAGAAATATCCTTCAGATGTGAACAGTTCATAAGTTTAATGGCATCTGAAGATTTAAAAGAACAAAGTACTTCTACATGGGATTCAGGTATCTGTCCTATACATTACTTTAGCTTAAGTTAAAGAAAAATGTCATGGTTTGAAAATTATTCATTTGGAAGAATAATCAACCTTTTTTAATCAGAAGAAAAAAAACGTAATTATATCTTGATGACTTTTTTGTAGGAAAAAAGACTATATGGGCAATGGCTTTAAAGAGTACTTGTTATTTTCCAGTAGTAAATATTACAGAAAAAAGGTATACAGTTACTAATGAAACTGGCAGGGAATTGAAAAAGATTAAAATTATTGAGTAATAGCATGCAAAATTGTCTTCTGAATGTATTTTTGTAATGTTTTGTAATGTAATGTTTTATGAGGTTTATGTGTCTTTTCATGGTAACAGCCTTCTACAAATGTCATTAGTAATTAAGTTGTATAAATTGGGCAGATGTAACCAGAGATAGGTTACACATTGCCTTTGAACTAATTTTATGCTACTACAACCACAGTTGCAACAAGAACCAAAAAAAAAAAAAAAAAACCAGTGGCATGTTTCCAGCTATTTTGAAGTTAGAAACACATGAAAACCCATGAAATAGATTTAATTTAATTTTAGAAAATAACAAATGCTTCCATCAAAACAGGAAAACAAAATAGAAAACCCAAATATGACATAGGTTCACTTACATTATCAGTCCAGCCATTATAGTTCTTGTTTCTCCTCAAATATACAATATATTTCCTGGCATTAAAAAAATGTCCTATCCAAGTATAGATAGTGCATTTATTGCAATAATAACTTTGTCATTGAAAATCAATAAGTGGAGCCGAGTAGGAAATGCAATTAGATTAATGCATGACTATAACATAGTCATGGCATTCATAAAAATAGTGAGTAGAGTTTCAGATCTCTCGTTACATAATCTGGTTTTAATCTAATGTTATTTGTTAATTAGAAGTTAAAACATATTTTTGTTTTCTTCATCATAGTTATAGTTGTCATACCTTCTAAAAAGATGATCTAATATTTATGGACACTTTTTTACATAGATTACATAGTTACATAGTAAGTTACATAGATGTAACTTACACCACAGCTTTTCTAAATCTAATGTCTACTTTGAGCATAGTATTTCATAACCGCTTTTACGGTTATGCTTTACTGTTGAACTGTTGTTTCTTTAATAATTATCAGTTTATTTTTTTCATTAATAACAAACCTTGAGTTTTAAAGTGAGCATGTAAGGTTAACATTTTGCTGATGGAACTTTTAAATTTGAACTCCAAACATATCCTTCAGTACACATCACTGTATTTGTCCTTATATATAATATAATACTTGATTATATTATAGAGAAATTATATCTCTTACAACAAATTGTATAGCTTTTTACATAGTTCCCTCAAAATTCTGTAATAAAATGTTTTTAAGTTTGCACGTTTATTAAGCTTAATGCCTTTAAAACATTGTCTTGAAATGTATATAAAGGTTAACATTTACTACTGAAAGTCAAAGAACAGCTGTAAAATTCAGCCTGTTTTTAGATAGAAGACTTTAAATTAAAATTTCACATTCAAATCTATCACGTATCAGCCATAGCATACTTAAACAATAATATTTCACCTCAGTTAGGATGCTACAAAAATAGATCATTTTTGTTTTTTTCTGTCAATAGACTCAATAAAAGATCTCGTAGAACAGGGATGTTGAACTTCTGTCATTGGACTAAGTTATTTATGTAATCTTGAAAATCCTTTTTGTCATTGCTGTTCCCCTCCTCTCCTTGACATCCTCCTAATTTGATCATTTAAAGATATGAAGAAGTTTTCCTCTGTTACAGAAGTTGTCATTGAGTACTTACTGTTTTTCCTGCTATAACCGTTACTCATATTGGAAAACTATTCTGCAAACATTAAGGAACTTACAGCTTATGTTCAGTTCTCTGTTTTTAAGTGCAAGTTAAGAAAATATAACTGGTGAACTTATTTTTACATTATACAATGCAAGTTCATTTCCATGTGTATTTCTAGAGGCAAACATTCCTTGATTTAGTTCTTATATGGGCAAGGAATTGTAGTTAATCATAAGTTAGATCTGCTCTAGTATCCTAAATTGATACACTGGATTGAATTGCCTAGCTCTGCCTAGTTTAATATTCTCTTGGTATTAAAATAATAAACATACAAGGGACTTCCAGTTTGTGTTGTAGTGGAACAGGATGCAGGAAGGCAGGGCTCTGCCTTTCATGCTTGATTTCGCCTTGCTGGGGACCCTGAAAAGGGCCTAAAATCGCCCCGAAGAGGTAATGAAGAGGAGGGTGTCTTGTCGATCATGGAGAGATGGTGGTCTTTCCATTTGATCTAAGGAAAGCCCTCCTATGGCCGGCCACTAGCTGCTGACAACCAAAGGAGAAAAAGCACTATTTAATTTATCGTAAACTGGGTAAGAATATTGATCCTTTCTTTACTATTTTACAACTGAATTTCCTGGGAAAGGCTCCCAAGAAGCTAAAACCCTCCAAATGTGAACAGAAGCAGCATTTTAATTTTATGGGGGACAGAAACACACAGTATTGAAGTGGAAGTAACATAAAGCTACAGTTTCGATAAATTTGAAAATTGAGATAACTGTTAAGATTTTTTCTTTGGAAAAAAAATGAGGCGAAATATAAGAAATCAATCCTTTGTTTTAAGAGTGGAAAATGGACTTTGAATGACATCTAGTGGTGGATTTGTGTATAGCACCATAATTTGCTTTGCTTGGTGATTCCTACCTTGGGAGAACAGCTGGCAATAAAGAAAAATATTTTGGCATACTTATCATCCTGATCTTCTTGGATTATAAATACCTACTGAGCTTGGATTTTTAATTTTAAGAGCTAGTGGGAGAGAAAGAAAAATTTGACCTTGGACTATGCCAGGCTGGGAGAGACTTTTGAGCTGTTTTTAGAGAGGTTGAATATTTTGAATATTTCGAACATGGTGGATTACAGTCTTGCCTGATTGACAATTTTGGGAATACTTGAGACAAGGGGTTACTATAAAATATTGCTTTAAGAACTGAACCTATATTTTGGAATCTATTGGATTATAAAGAGTACATTTAAAGACCAAAAAACTAATCTCCAGGAATGATGTCTCAAGAAAAAAAATAAACACCTTTCAGAAAGAAATATATTCTGTGCTACAACTAATTCACCAAACAATTGTTGAATGCAAAGAGGACATAAAAAGAAATCATAATGAGACTAAAAACAATTTAGACAATATAAATGAGCAAATCTCCAAATTAAATCTACAACTAGAAAGCTCCCAGAAAACGACTACAAAATATGAACAAACAACCCAGAAATCAGAAGTCGTAACAGAGGAAATGGATTTAGGCATGGAAGAGATAAAAGAAGGGAAATACAAACGATTATATACAAACAAAATACTGCAAGACTTAGCTATAACAACGAAAACACAAAAAATATTTTACCCCTCAGGTCTGCAAAATATTTCTGATGGCAAGGAAAAAGATTTTTAAAAAGGGAATATAGAGCTGTTAAGGGAAATGTCACAATTTGGGAGACAGGGATTGAAAAGAGAAATGGAGGGGGAAAGGAACTGGGAGTTGTTTAAGGAATATAAATGGGCGGAATTCCCCCCCAATTGTCTTCCTCATGTCAAGCAATTTTTGCAAAAACAGAAAGAAAATTCTTGGGCGATCTAATTGCCCTGGCTTGGAAAGCGACTTGGCGAAGAAAGAAAGCGAGAGTCAAATTTAAAAAGCAGAAGATTTGACCTTTTATAGGGGGCATTATATGTTTAAATATTTCTTTGAATAAGATTAAAAGAACAGAAGACCCTTAGATAATTAGGGTCTAATTATAATTATAATTAGACCTTTATAATGAAAGATATGATTTAGAATTAAGATAGCATTTTTCCCTCTCTTTTCTGACATGGGAAATATGAAGATAAGAGGAGAATTAATTTGAATAAAACTTTCAGCTATATAAATGTAATTAATATTGAGACAATCATAACTGATAAAGGCATTTCAAATACTGATATGGAAATCAAACTTTAACAAGAACACAAAGAACAGGATATTGATTATGAATTGACGTTATTGATTTATGAATTGATATTATTGTTATTTATATGGTATTAGTAAAATATGATGAAGATGCTTATATCTAACGTTGTGTACATTAACAGTACCAAAAATTGTAATGGTGTAATGAAGGGGAAATGGAAAAAATATGGAGAAGAAAGGAGGATCAGGGAAAAAATACTGGATTGTATAATATTGAACAGATTTATATTGAAGAAGTTAATGTTAATGTTGTTTACTAAGCACTAAAGACTGTAATTTTTAAAAATTAAGAAAACTTCTATTAAAAAAATAAAATAATAATCATACAAGATTATACCACTATTCTCTCCCTCAGCTAATTGGGAGATATCCTGTGATTAACTGGTATAGAATTTTTGACTTCCTCTGCCTCTATCTTTATTGCACTGGTATCTTAATGAGTTTTCTATATATTTCATTTATAAGCAACATAAACAGTGGTTCATGCATTGGATTCAAATTATACATACCAACATTGCACTTCAGGCAAGCCTGCGTAAACATTAAGACAACATTCCATGCAAAGTTAGGCTGAGTTATTTTAATGGGATCTGGCTATTTTAAACCTTGATATTAAAATTAATGAATCAGAGCCATTGCTGCCAAGGATAATTTGTTCAAGCATTACTGATGGTGTTGTCAGATGTTTTGATGTTTTTTTCCTCTCAGTGTTTTTGTGCTGAATCACCTCTAAAATCTTCAATTCTTTTTCCGTTTCATCTAGATACTCAGAGCCGGCCAAGTACTGAAACAAAGAAGAATCATCACAAAGAAAGAGAGAGGGATGAAAGTTTCCAGTCTGAAAGCTGTTGTCTGATTAAAGAAAAAGAAAGGCTTCACATATCTGCAAGGAAATACCATCTCCAGGAGCAGCTCTGCAATACTGAACCCACACTGAATCAGCCATTTGTTTTATCCACAGAGACCCTGGACACGCCTTTCTCTCAGTGTTTATCTTTGAGGGATGCTAGTGAAAACGACAGCCTGCAGCCAAGGAAAGAACAGTTCTCTCAGGATGGCGCAAAAATAGAAGCAGCAGCCGAGAAGCCCACAGCAACGTGTTTTAGTGAACCAATGGTAGATGCATTAGTTTGGACAGATGCTGATTATATACCTCCTGATCTTATAGCCACTGATGAAAATATTCCATCTGAAAGAAACTTACTGAGGACAAAAAGCTGTTCTAGCTCTGTGGTGTTTGCGGGTAGCCAGTTGGAAAGCAGCATAGTAAATCAGCTGCTGCAGCAGCAGCCTGATTATGAAAATAACAGGAAATCTGTGCAAAACCAAACATCAGACATCAGTGGGAATGTACAGTTTGACACTGAGATGTCCAAACAGCCCAGAGTTATATATGAGTGGATACAGGAAGAAACAACAGTACTGGAAGAAAAAGGTGAAAGTGAGGAGTCAGAAGGCTTCTTTGAACAGATTTTGAACGGTACCATAAAAGTTAGAGAAGAGGCTCTTAAATTTCTAGAAACCCAAGAGGACTCTGAAATTCTTCCACATATTCCACCTGAACAAGCACTTTATTCTTCATCGGAAGATTATTCACCAGATGAAAATTTTTCTTCACTTGATGAGCTTGCAAAACGAATACAGATTGCAGAGGTAAATATTGAAAAAAAAAACTTTTTTCATGTTATCGTGATTCATGTTTGCACTGTGTTTGTTTATTTTCTTTAGCATGTAAAACAGCTGAAGAGAAAGTTTATGATACTTGCATGACTTTCCAAGCGTTGAATATGCACTTTGGAAAAAATAGATTTCAATGGACAAAAATGAACTGGTGACTTTTGGATTTACCTGTTAAAATGGGCTGATATGAGGAGTAGGGAACTATGCTGTATAATTTTGAAGATGGAAATTGTATTAATTATTTCTATAACTGCTGTAAAGAAGATCAGAAGTCACTTCTTTAAGTATTTTTTCTTTTTTCTCTCACTTTTTTGTTTTCTTTATCTTTTTTCTATTTTTTCATGATTTACTTTGTAAAATATTTCTTTAATAAAAATTATATTTTAAAAAAGAAAAAAATAGCAGACATATTGGTATACATTAATTTTCCTATTTCTGATCACAAACATTCTGAGATATCCCAGATTCACATTTCACTTTTATTGCCATTTTCTATTGTTCCTGTTAACCTCTATGATTAAAAAAATTGTTTTCTTATAACTTCCTGATAGAATAGATGCAGCTGCTAGGCCCGATAAATTCCTTATATTGCTTTTCAAAAAATGAGATATTAAGACAGAACATGCTATTCTTTCATTGCTGACCGATTTTATTGCGGTCACTTCATGTTTCTGGAAGTGTTAACTGTTGTTTTTCTAATAATAAGGCTGCTTTATTTCATTGGACTTTTCCCTAGAGTTGCTGCTTTGTTTGTTTGTTTGTTTATTGCAAATGTTCTTATATCACTTAAATCAATTCCTGTCTTCCTAAGTTTATTTCTTTAAAATAAATAAACAAACAAACAATTAATGTAAGCGGAATTTAGAATGAAGAACTTAAGTCTTTTTTAAAACTTTAACCCTATTTTTCTTGTGAAGATGAGCTATGAGAATGTGTATTTCAAAGTGTTGAAAGGACGTCTGATGTTATTTACAGACAGACAGGTCCTTGCACTTTGTGAGAGAGGATAATGAATGAGTACTATGATTTTCTTAGAAAAATGAAGAATGCCCTATCGGTCTTTTGAAAAGTTCTATTAAATAGATTGTATGTAAAACTCTTGATTTCACTATTCTTCTACCTCTTCAGTGTTGTTTTTTACATACTGTAAATAATGCTTTTGAGAAACTTTAATTTCTAAAACCATATTTTAACCATTCTAACCACCTTACCATCTATTTAGTTATGTGTTTTTCTCACTTTCTCATCTTGTGTTTACTGCAAGCACAAGAATTGATGATACAGTGCTCTAATGGGAAATCTTATGTAATTCTTAGCTCTGTGTTGCTGTTCTTTGAGATCTGAATTTATCACAGGGAGCCATTGATCTTTAAAGAGAGCACAGAATGTATCTTGCATCATTCAATAGCAATCTCTGCAGGCCAAATATGGAATAATATGAGCTGTCTCTAGAGGGAGCTTGCTCCTCTGGCTGTGTCAGCTGGAAAATGAACTTTAAAGAGATGTAAAATACGGGAAAGCAAAGGGGATGGGATAGAGTTTAGATTTTCATTAAAGTAGAACTATAGTGTTTTACTGTGCAAGATTATTACCACTAATGGATATGAATGTTGGATAATATAAATATTTATTTTATGTAGTTTTCCTAAAATTGAGAACTTATTATTCTGGGACACTTTCTGAGCTGTACTACAACAAGCAAGTCCACTGCTGATCAACATAGCCACTACTGATCCAAATCTCTTCCTTATGCTCATTATTGTTGGCTAGTCCCTTCTCCAGACATATCTGCCGTGATAAAAAAAAGCTGAAGAAGTAGTAGTCTCCATTTATTTTGCCCCTTCTCCTAAGTCATGCTGTGGATTCTTCCTACAGGGAGACAGATTATGAAGGAATGTGTGTTTTAAAAAGGAGAGTTGGATTTTAATATTACAATCAGGAATGCCGATAACAATTCTATTGACATGTTGAGAGGAATCTGACCTTTGCTCCTGATCTTGGTGCCTGGATTGCTTTGCTTGATGTATCTAAATTGTGCATAAAGCACTTAATACTTTCTCTTGCAATTATACTAAAATGTTGCACAATATTTCAGTTGGCTGTCTATTACAATGGATTCATGTCCATGTTTTGCATAAAAACACATCTTGGCATGAAGAGAAACAGCAGAATAGAAACCCCAATTCATAGCCATGCATTTAAAAAAACCTTTCAAAGAGATAACTTATGCCAATGTCTAGTTATACCCAGCTTTTATACAATATACAAGGCGTTTGTCTGCCCCTCCTCAGCCCTCCTTCCAAAATGTCCTTGATATGACGCTATATATGTTACCATGTCACCAAATGTCAGCAATGATGGCCATTAAATTGATGTTGCAGAAGTCACATTAAAAAAATCAGAGTTTACAGCTGCCAGAATTCAGTAGTGTTATTACAGTTGCATCAACCTTGTCCAGCATTAGTCTTTTCTAAAAGAGAGGTATCTTTTTGCTTCCTTTGTATTTTTATGGTTTGTTGTACAATCTGCCAGATGTTCAGAGTGGATTTGGCATCTTTATCCACCCATCAAGTCCTTCCCAAGGACCTGGAATAGGCAGATGTGGACATTTGATGGTGCTAAAGGTATTATAAGATGTAAGCTGTTCCAAATAAAGCTGCCTTTTGTGATTGTCTGATGGTGGCTTTGTCACTCAGAGGGACTTACAGTAATGGAAAGATACAGGGTAAAAACATAACACCGAAGTCAATACTTTTAAAGTCAGAATTAAAATCAGTATAATTAAAATCAATTAATAGGTAAAAGCTTGGCTATCTTTAGTTCTTCCTTGTGTTGCCCTCTTTCTAACATCCAGAGGTCTTTGTACATCCTTTCTGCAACAGTACTCAGCCTCCAGGGGACACTGTTCTGAAAGCTGAATACAGTTCTATCCCCATGTTGTAATTCCTCGCCAGCCCGTGGATCCAGCAGTTGTGTCTGAGGACTCAGAAGAGGAGGACGGGCCTGGAGTGTCATCAGAGTCAGTGGGAGGCTCTGAGGAGCTCCAAGTCTTACAGTCTGACAAGGAGCCTGGCTCCTCTACTCGTGCTCAGGCTGAGACACAGCTGTGCTGGGAATCTGAGGGGGATAGTGACGACTCACAGTAAACGTGGGCAAGCAAAGAGAGCAGAACAGAGGAGTGCAATGGGGCGGCTCCAGAGGCAAAGGAGCAGGCATTAGGAAAGCCACGCTTTGGCTGCATAATAAAAGGAGAGGTATGGGAGGTGCTGGTTGCCGAAGGCAACCTTTCAGGTTAAGAATCAAGTTGCTATGAACTGTTTGTTTTCCTCAGGTCTGTGAATAATAAAAGGGGTTTGGGTTTGTCCTGCAGTTTCTGCCTGCTTGATTTGAAGAGGGGATTTCTCCTTGTGAACTTAACGAGGAGCTCAAGTAGGCTGGGACAGAACATCCCAGTGGCATCCAGGGAAACATCTGCAGCTAAGAAAGGGATTAGAAATGGTGGAAAAGAAAGGGATTCACAAAGTGAATAAGTGACTATGTCATAATAAATTTGAAAAAAAAAGTTTCTATTTCTTAGTTCTGCTGAGGGTGGTTACTATAGTAAATTTCAATATATTAATGATCTTTAAGAGGTTTAGAAAGGAAGGTAAATGTGGGTTAAATATATGTAATTGCTTTATATTTAAACCTGGAATTATTTGTATTTTCAAATATATTGTATTATAATTATAAGTTCATCTATTATTGATATGACTTGCATACCAGTATAGTGCGATGATAATTTTTGATAGATTGGGCATGCCGCACTCACTTTAGGATTGTAACTTTCATTCCATTCCGTAACATTGAACGAGTTTTTGGCTTGAGAAAATTCTCATACCTTACTACCTCAATTCTTACTGTTGTCCGTGGCATTGCTTCATGTGCATTTCACATTTCATATAAAAATGTCTGTGTGATCATTTCCAATATCTAAGAGTGATGAGAATACTGAAGCTGAAATTGAATTTTTAGATTAATGGATGCCATATAGCTGCTTGCTTGGAATGCATGTGCATTGCAAAGTCCTAAATAGAAATAGAAATAGCACTTAGACTTATATATCGCTTCACAGTGCTTTACAGCCCTCTCTAAGCGGTTTACATAGTCAGCATATTATCCCCCCCCCAACAATCTGGGTCCTCATTTTACTGACCTCGGAAGAATGGAAAACTGAGTCAACCTTGAGCCAGTCAGGATCAAACTGCTGGCAGTCGACAGAATTAGCCTGCAATTCTGCCTCCTTTTTTAATGCAGTGCAGATTATAGTTCACTTATTATAGATTGTACTACAATATAATTTAGTTCAAAAAGCATTGATCAGAATTCTCTCTTTTTTTTTAATTTGACAATATAAAACTACAATGACTAAAATATGGCCATATCCATAGATTGGCTGCCTTGAAAGATTAAATAATTCATAGAGTAATAATGGCTCTACTAATATAGCAGAAATGATCCTTGGCAGATAGAAGCTATTAAGAACTCCACTTTAAGTACCTATGCTTTTAGCAATTCACTTTATTATTGATTTTATATTTTAAGAGATTTCATGTTTTAAGATGTTTGTTTGTGGAATTAAGACTACAGTTTGGAGTAAAATATAAACTTTATATCTGCACTGCAGAAATGTGTCTTATAATCCTGTGTTTGGTTTCATCATTATACCAGATTGCATTATACCAGATTGCATGTTCAGCATCCAAATAAGGAAGTACTTGAGATTCTTTTATCCATGATAGTATCTAGCTTCTATTCAAATGGAACCAATGGAGAACATTATGTTACAAGATATTAATAGTGCCTTTGGTATTTAACAATCTTTTAAAGTCAAATCTCTTAAATATCTTATAAAACAATTTATATTTGCAACTAATAATCTTCAATAATTGTGAAGATTGAAACCAAGAGTTAAAATATCTCAAAGGTAATGTATTAAGATTCTGCAATATATAAATGCACTATGTATATGCAGCAAATGAAACAAACTCTTAATACTGTGTTTTTATAACAGTCTACTTTATCATACTTGTTAGACTGTTCGTGCGGAGGGGCTTGTGTCTATATTGAAAAAAAGAGATGACAGTGAAGAAAAAACACTGGCTCAAATGCAGCAGAGACAGTCAAAAAGAAGAGTGAGATTCCAAGAAATGGAAGAAACGTTAGAACAAGGTATTTACTCCTTACTAATTTTAACCCCAGAATTGTATAATCACATGAAATAAGAAACTATAAATATTCAAGTTACATATATGTGCCACCTCTGCTTATATTCCAAAAGTCATGAATGGGGAGATAGGTTGCTCTCAATTATAGGTAATGCATGCAAACATTGTGTTGCATTGTTTTCTGGGAGATGGGTCACCCCATGAACCCTCACCCTTTTTGAGGTGGTGGCTACATTTGGAACATTGAACATATGTTTTCGGCTCTTTCACAAAATGTCTGCAATGAAAGGGGCTAATCAGTGTTTCTCAGCCTTGATAATTTTAAGGCATGCCGACTTCAACTCCCAGAATTCCACAGCCAGCATTGCTGGCTGTGGAATTCTGGGAGTTGAAGTCCACATGCCTTAAAATTGTCAAGGTTGAGAAACACTGGGCTAGATAAAGCTTTGACTTAATTTAAGTGGAGACTCTTAGACTTTGTCATCCAAAAGGATAGGTCTTCAGTATCATGAGCTTATAAGTGCTCCTTTACCATATCGTGATATTTTTATCTTATCATTTATGCACCATATAGAAGAGGATTTATATTGTTGTGATTTTACAGTGTTGCTACAGATAAAGATAACGTTCCTTATCAGCGTCACCTTTGCATTTGCTGGGACACATATATGAGTTTGTGACCCAGAAATTACTAGACTGTTCCCTATATCAATCTGGTCCTTTGATCTAACTGAATCATTTATTAGTAATCTTTTCCACCTCTTGTAACCAGTGATTATAAATTATCTTGTGAAATTCTTAACTAGATCCATGACTATTAAAAAATCAGTGGATTTGTTTTACAACCAACTCCAGGCTTTATCTTTTCACATACTTAACAGTTGTTGATTGCCTTGCTCCAGAATTTTCCACAAATTTAACTTGCCACTGGAATCTTGGCATCCTACACAGCATTTTTTATTTTCTGCCAAGTTTGATTTACACATTTCTTAATTGGCTTTTGTTATTCTCTTTCATTTTTGCATAATGCCATTGATATATACTGTATTATCTTGGTTTATGAATAAGAGAGGCAGGCAGGCAAGGGAGGGGAGGGGAGGGGAGGGGAGGGGAAGGAAGAGGGGAGGAGAGGAATTCTACACTTAAAACAATAGCACAGCCCTATGCTTGCCTATTCAGCAATATGTCTGTTCAATAATCCTTATTGCCAGTTAAGACTGTACTAATTTTATAAATACAAATAGAAATAGAAAATATCTATATTTATATAAAATAGAAGGCAAAATCAAAGTCAAGCCCCAGATCCTATTAGAGTGAGTGGTTATATTGATTTTGATGTGCTACCATTATTTTCAGCTCCTGTTTTAGGCTGGGTATGTTATTTGTTTTTATTTATTGGTAATATTTTTATTTTGTTGCGTTAACCATCTGTAATTAGGTGTATAAGATGGGTGGCCATATACATTTATTAAATAAATAAATAAATAAAATACAGTATTCTTATGCAGTATTTCCAGTGCAGGGTGGGGATGTTAATCTTATATTGAAATATTACAGACTCTCATAAATTCAATCCCACAGCAATGTATAACTTTACTATTATTAAAAATATCAGTAAATTAAACAGCCCATTAATAGAATAAAAAATATTTGTGTAAGTTAATATGTTTGGGAAAAGCTAGCATAAAAATGCATGGATTTTATTTTTCCATTCATAAATAAATGGAATAAAATTACACAGGCATTGTTCACTTAAAAATGGTAATTGGGATGTCACTAAGCAGTGCAATCAGAAAGTGTGACATTGTGACCAACGGCTTAGCGCCAGCTGTTTTTATACTTCTGGTTGCCATTGTTAAGCAATTCCATACCGTTATGAAGTGGGTTAAGCTATTAGCAATCTTCTACTGACTTTCCCATAGACCTTGCTTGTCAGAAGCTAGTAGGCCAGGGTCACAAATGACAATCATGGGATTGCAGGATGCTGCAAAATTTTAATTGCAAGCTGATCGCCAAGCAGTCACATCAAGATCACATGACCCTGTGGACTCTGCAAAGGCTGGAACTTTGAGATCCAGTCATAAGTACCACTCTTTCAGTGCCATCATTACTTCAAATAGTCATGGAATGAGTGGTTGTTAAGCGAAGACTACCTATAGAAGCAAATTATGAACAAAAATAATTATTTTATTGTGCATATTTTCTTCCGTGAAAGCAAAAGAAGGAAGCCTATTGCCTAATTCTTTCTTTGGGCCAATATTGACATTTGTCTCTAGCTTTACTCTGTCTTGGTAGAGGAAGTTGCTGGTTCTGGACATTTATTTGGCTATTTCAGTGTTGAGGAATATATACAATACAGGTAAGTAAAGTATTTCAATTATTTGCCATTCTATTCACTCTGTGTCATTCATCTTCTTTCTACAGAGGACGCTGGAGCTGGCTCCTGCATTTTGCTGATCTTACTGTGCATAGCAACTGTATTCTTTAGTATTGGAGGAACAGCATTGTACTGTACATTGGGCAACAGAGAATCTGCAGTATGTACTGATTTTGCTGCCAATGTGGATTTTTATCATAGCCAGATACGGAAGGGTATAGAAGAAATTAAACACTGGATATCTTTATAATAAAAGAAGAAATATGAACATATAGTAATATTTTACTGTCGCAGAAGAAAGAAAAATAGTTGAAGCATTGAATAATTTGGCACTTTCAGAAGACGTAACGTAACATGGGAAGCATCTGTGTTGTACATAGGAGTTAATGTCCAGTAATTACCTAGAGTTATTGATCAACTTTCATGAGGCAGCATAAGAGATTGTCCTAATGTACTCCTTTTGAAATGCTCAGAACTATCTTCTGTTTACCAACTTAGAAAAGAAAAAAAAATAATCTTTCCTAAAATTTCCAATCCTCATATAGTCATATGCAATCTCTGTAAATTTTAATACAAAACAGCTGATTTTTCTTATTTCATAATGCAAAGATATTGTCTCCAGTTATCATGCAATAAGTTCATATTTAATGGAAACAGATCTTATTTGAGAATCATGTATTTTATGTTGTTAATTTCGATGAATTGTAATAATTTGAGTATGGCAATGGTACAAATAGCAGCCTTCTCCATTTAGATGTTATTTAATTGTGCAGCATTTTACAATGTAGCAGTTGTAATAAGTGATGTATTCATTATTTTCATATACAGTTTTGGCAAAATATGCAGAGTTTTAGTAATAGAATCCTTAAAATGGATTTATAAAACAGGTTCTCTATATAAAACCAAATATAAAATATGGCTCATTTCAGTGCCAGTAATAGCCATCCAGGATTAGTTGGAATAAGGTAGCATCCAGATTGAATAAATAAATAAATTATGATTTACATTTTTTAAAAAGGGTTCACGTTGCACATTTATTTTTTTAGATCCATTTTTATGGTATTGTGAGTGTTCATCTAACACGGTAAAGTGGAACACACTATATTTACAAGAACTGACATAAAACATCTGAATTTGAAGACATTTTTTCTCTTGAGTGTGATTCTAGTAACAAAAGTGGGTTTCTTCTCCATTATAAGCCAAAATGGTGGCTCGACAATGTTAAATCCCCTTTTGGTTTTATTAAAGTTACTGATTTATATTTCTCCAAATTATAAAGAAAAAAATAAACTGAAAAGGTGTACCTTAGAATGAAGGTATCAGACATATATTGTAATTTCTTTATTTGAATATTGTGAAAGTTTGAAAGTCGGGTGGCAGACAAGTTTATTTTGGTTAATTGCACAATCAGCCAGATATTTAGACTGGATTTGGCTTTTTTTTTTTAACCTTTACCCTTCACAAGAATCTGGGATAGGCAGATGTTGATTAATATTATTTTTGATTAATATTATTATTTGATTATTATTATTAAGGTATCATCACAGGATATAAAGTATCCTGTGTTCAAAGTAAAGCTGCTTTTTGCAATTGACCAGTGTGATTTTTGTCAATACTAATGATGCTGAATGATGCTGCAAGAATTTTGGGACTGTACTCAGGGCACCTATCATTGTTTTCTTTCATCACAGTTGTTCTGCTTCTATTTGCAGGCTTTTATATTTCGTGATTTTTTCCAATTCTCTCTCTTCTATGCTGCTGTCTCCAGGCACTGCAATGTCTACTGTCCAGACTTTTTTGTCTTTCCTATCAACAGTCGTTAAGTCTGTTGTCAGGCAGATGCTTGACTGTCTAAGTTCCCAGTTCTTGCTTGCAGGCAAGTGGTGTTTCTTGCAGATATTCAGTTTTTACTTTGTCATATTGTTGTTTGTAATCAGTTTGCAATTTTCTTGCAATAGGAGGTACACTATTTTTTCAGTTTCTTTGCAGAGAAGGCATTTGCAGTCTGTTGCTGTCTGACTTTATATGCATTTGTTCTTAAGACATGGTCTTATGCAGCCAGAATTAGTTCCTCTGTTTCTTTCTTCAACTTTCCTGCTCTTAGCCATTGCCAGGTCTTGTGTGATGTGCCTGCTAGGCTTTTTTTAATGTATTGGCCTTGCCATATCTTCTAGTCTAGTCTACTCTACTCTACTCTACTCTGCTCTACTCTACTCTACCTTCCTTACATAGCTTACGTAGCTTTGATATTCAGTACTAGTATCTTCTTCACTGGCCTTCAGATATTCTTCCATTGCCTTTTTTTCTTCTTCAACTATCTGGTGTATCCATGTCCACCTATGTTTCTTGGTAAATAGAATCTGTCAATATCACTGCATGGGTGAAGGGTATGATTCATTGTCATTTTTCTGGTCTTTCTACCCAGCGTTTCTACTTCATCTTAAATCCACTCCGCTATTCCACTGTAATCTAATCCACTGTATATCTAATGACTAGAATTACCCAGGTATTAATCACTTTGATGGTATTTCTGCCATTGTGTTTGGATTTTAAAATTTTCTTCACTCTTCTGATGTCTTTACTACTAACCTTTTTGATTTCAGTATGCTTGCAGTTGTTAGCCTGAAAAATGCCCAGGTATTTATAATGAACTTCTTCATCCAGATTCCTAACATTATTTGCAAAGGATGTTTCTGGGCACTTGATTATTCAGTCATATGGCAGGGAACTTGTAATCCACCAAAATATGTTCACGTTGGTCTTCCTTCTCTTACAATTTTCCAATATTATCTTGTCAATTAAGAACTGGGGTTTTTTTTAACTTTCTGGTATTTGGGTGATTTCCTTTCTGCTCAGATACTCGGCTTGTTTTCAACTAGATGCTGTTGAACTGCATCAACTACCAGACTAGTTAGCAATTTGAAAATTGTTGGCATGCAGGTAATTGTTGGTAAGCAGGTACTGCCACTTTTGTTGGATCTTTCATTATCAGGAAGGTTTTACCAGATATTAACCAATCTTCAATTTCACCTACTTGCACCATGTTGTTAGCTTGGTAATAAATGGGTATAGACCAATCAGATGTTCCAAGCAAAAAACACAGTTCATATTCATCTGATGCTGAACTATTGTTGATAGAAGCAGCCCAAATCATGCAGTTGTATCACCGGAAATCTTTCTCCCTGCAGTACAGTACAAATTCCATATTTGATTATTTTGCTTTAATCATCAATTTGTTATACCAGTTACTAATTTCTTTTAAAATTCAAAGGCATAACTTTGCAAGACAGCTTTGCAGGAAGAATGTTTGTGTTTTTGATACCCTAGAGTTATATCTATTTCTAAGGCTATATGCTTTTAAAGATTTCATGCAATCAGATTGATTGTAGCTGTTTAGTTCCATAATGAATAAACTGTAGTCCATTTTAAAATAATGTTACATACCACTGCATTTGATTAAAGACTATCTAGTCTAAAACAGCTTCAATAACTACAGGTCATGTTATAAAGCTACTCCACTAATTACTTACTCCACTAATTACTCTTTCAATGTAATTATAGGTCCTAATAATGTCACTTATTTATGAAAGCTACATAAATTTGCTAATCTTTCAGTATGGTTATCTGCTACCATTATCTATAGTATTAACAACAGAGTTGCTGTACAAACTAATATATAGGCACAAATTGTACAGTAGAAATGGTAATATTGAGAAAATAATTGAACACTTTTAAAAAGTCAATTTCATCAAGTATTGTTTTCAACTAAATAATTACCAGGGTTTTGTTATGAAGTAATATTTACAGTTAATCAAACGTTCTGCATGTTATAGTTTGAATTTCCTCAGTCTATTTCATTTTTTTCAAGTATGTAGTCATGGGCCAATTGTACAAAATATATACAAAGGAATAGACAAAACAATCATTTTGTTTATTACTAAAAAAAATTAGAAGTAATAAAGAATGTTCATCACATTAAGTAAAGGATTCCCCTTTACAATTATTTGCCATGATTTCTATAGTTAGTCCCTAACTTTAAGGCTGCCGTGGAAAATATGCTATTCATAGATATCTAGGCAACATAGATAGATAGAAAAAGAATTCCTCGAAGCCTGGTTCTCCTCCGGAAAGTCAATAAATATTGACATCAGCCCAATTTACCAATCGCTGAGAATGAAAGAACTACTTTAACCCAATTCCAAAGGCAATTTCCCACACACAAGAAACCAGACCAATCAGACAAACACTATTTGCATTACACAGGCAATACTTAAAACATCAAGGACTATGGCCCAGCAACAACAACCAACCAATCAAACAGAAATCAGACCATCCAGACAAATAATACCCACACCAATTTACATTACACAAAAAGGTATGTAAAGGTCAGTGCTCTGACAGACGAGTACAATTCAAAGGACACTAAAGATGTCCCCCCAACTGGAGACAAAACGTTTGCAACCAAATCGCCAAGCTTGGAGATCAAACCAACAGCCCAATTGCCAACCCAAGCTACTATTATTCAAACGCATCTCAAATCTGAAAAGTGTTATGATCTGCCTGCCAACCCTCAAATCATACTCCAGAAACCCAGTCTCTGAGGGTTACATAATTCAGCAGAAGCCTATCAATGAATGAGAGAGAGAGAAAGTTCTTTCTTCAGTGTTTTGCGATTCTAATTAGCCAAAGATTATCCTTTAATAAATGAATAATTTAATATTAATGGTTTTGTGAAGTCAAGCTTTCACTAAATGTGAGCTTTATTTAAACCCAATGAAAGAAGGAGAAAACTATGTGAAAGTTAGGCAAGAACATATTAATATAAAAATTAAGAGTGCTAAAAGCCCTCCATGAGTCATGTATCATTAGTGAAAAGCCATATAAAGATATTTAAATGAAGTTGGTGAGAATGGGAGATAATAGAGCCAAAAGCACCTTCCAAATCCACCAATGAATATACTAGTGAGATAGAATTAGAAAATAGTCAAAAGTAACATCTCTGTTCTTAAAACCTATTTATTCATACAGAATAAATTTTTCCCCAGTCTTCCAGCTTCTCCAGCAGTAAACATGAATACAGCCTGGTTGGTATAACCAGTAGATAAATTGGGCAATATTTATTTGGATCTTGTTTGTTGCCTGTTTTGTAAATAGAGATCATTATACCAAGGATCTGGGCCTTCTGATCCTATGTCTTCTTTATTTATATATTTGAATAATTTAGCAAGGAGTGACTGCCATCCTTTTACAAAGGCTTAAATACCCTAGGGGCAGAACTAACATTTGCAAGAATGCATAATATCCAACAACTATTTTGATATTGACCATTTTTATGGTAACAATTTCTACCTGGAGCATCTGCATTTCATATGTTCCTCTGATTTCACTACTTTCAGTGTTCCCCATCATATATTTACATATGCATATATACTGTATATGCTCAACTCAAGATAACATTGCATGCACCTGATAAGTGGAACATCGTGTAATAATAAATGTATTAAATATTAAAATAAAAGGGATTAAATTAAAAATGGAAAAGAATAAACAGAAATAGCATTAGCTGAACTTTATTGGAATGCTGTCCTGCTTATTTCTGAGTATTTCAGGGCTACTGAAGAAGATAGTTAAATTTTACTGAGGAAGATGCAGGTATAATGTTGATTCAATAATGGATAGACTTGTCTTTGAAAGTAGAATTTGCTTTGTAAGATGTATCTAAAAAAGTTTACTAAGTGGCTTGATCTACACTAAAAGTCTGTCATCATGACATACAATATTTTGAACTTAATGGAAAAAAAGTAATCGCCTAATGTTACTGGGCATTGTTTAAACCTCAGATGCAGTTAAATAGCTTCTTAAACATGACCATTGAATATCATGCTTTTATCTTTTGCTATTATATGCCTCCCTTTTTTTTCAGCACTACATATACCTGATTATTCTATCCAATTCAAAACATAATTGATTACTCCCAAACACAATCCTCACCATAGTGATTAGTGCCAACATCCAGTGATTTGAAGCATCTCTGGCTCTTTAAAGCAATTGCATCTGTTCCTTGGATCACTTATTTGCCCTCCACTTTTACAGCACATTCCCTGGAAAAGGCATAGCTGCTTTCAAGGAATTATCTAATTTCATTTTATCTGCTATGAACAAATAGGTTTTAAGAACAGAGATTTTACTTTTGACTATTTTCTAATTCTGTCTCACTAGTATATTCATTGGTGGATTCATAATCCGTCAGATGGAATTAAAAAATCCGTCAAGTAGGTCAGTCAAACTACTTGTACTTTCATTAAAATAATATATAAAGACAAGTTCACATTAGCATTTAACAATTTTAATGATTACATATATAGGCATTCATAAATACAGGAGGATTCTTTTCCTTTTTCAAGAAGAACAAAGACTTATAAAATAAATAAACATTTTTTTCAACAAACCTGAAATAAAGAGTTTTTGGCTTTGAAGTATTTTTTGTTAGGGCTATAAATTGATCAGACAATAGGGAAATTAAGTGAGGAATACTATGTCTCTTTTTTAGGGAGTAGACTTCACTGAAGCTCTTACAAATCTAGTAGTCACAAGTGGTACATGCTATACAAATGTTTAGGCTTTGTTATGCAAACAATATGGCAAGTGAAATGAAATAGTGACAGAAATATTCAAAAATATGGATGTAAAAAGCAATATTTTTTACTTTTTAAAGAGTATCAGCCTTTATGTGAATTATTATTAGAGTTATTCATTTTTATTTTTTCCTTTCCGTTTGTAGCTCAGACGTCTCTCTGTGATAAATAATAGAACAGGCAGCATCACATTCTGTTTAATTTACACATCACATAAATATGTAATTTCATTGCATGTCCTTTCCTTTCTTATCACTCCTAACTTAATCCTGTTTACTGCAAAGTTCTTAGAAAGATAATTTGAAGTTTGACATCTGAGTGACTAATCTTGTATATTTGTGTTGACACACGCTGCCATAGTGTTCCGGTAGATTTTAGTTGTACTGTGTTCTATTATACCTTGATAAAAGGTTAGAATCAAAACAACTCCTTGGCTGTATTGTACACAAAGGCTTCTTGCATTCTTTAGAATTGCCTTATGTTTATCTATGTACTACTAAAATTCTTGTGTCCTTTTGATTGTAATCTTCAGTTGGGCAAAATAGGGCAACAATTTTTTAGTCAACATACCTCAGATACTTACAGAATGCATCCAAAACCTGGGACTCATGACTCCCAGATTTTGGCAAAGCTGTGATTGTTTCAGTGCTGCTGTGCTGCCACGTTGCTATGGTCATGCTATTGTCATTTCCAACACTCCCTGCCAGCTTTCTTCAAGAAAAGACAATGGGGAAACCAGCAGGAAGTTAGAAGTTGCTCCAGCTCCCACAGGTTCTTTTTTGTTCTGTTGTGCATCCATGGTCCTTCTCTCTGTTTAGGTAAGGAAATATCTCTGAAACAGTTGCCAACAGGTTTTCTAGTTCATTACTCTTTTCTGCATACAGTCTTCTGTGGAGATCCTCCACTGTGGGAGATGTAATTCTAATAAAAAGAGTGTTCTAATGATAAAGCATCCAGAACCATCACCCTTTCATAGTGACCTGGATCCTGGATCTATGGATTCAGGTAACTTAGGATGGAGAATCAGTCATTTTCTGGAGTCCCTGAACTACAGCTTCTAATATTCTTGTGATTGGCTGTGCTGGCTGGGGTTGCTGCAAGTTCAAATTCAGCAACTTGTGGAGGGCCACGGATTCCCCTTCCCTAGTGTATTGGCAGTGCAAACTTTACCCTGGTTAATTAACTGGCAATTTTATATGTTGTTAGTAAGTTTTTTAAAGATTTAATTTTGTCTAAACATGTTTTTATGTGTGTTCCAAAGGCCTTTTGTTTTTTGTTTTCTTTTACAAATTTTATTTATAATACAGTTAAAAACAAACAAACATTGGATTTAACGTGACATTCCAGTATATACATTCTTATCAGATTATTCCACTTTTTACAATCAATTCTTCATCTCTACATATACATCTTAAGTTTTATATACAATACTAAAATAACATGTATTTCTATCTTAACATTCATCTTTAATCCCGACCGTCCTCTTCAAATTTCTCCAGTGGTAAAATTTATCCCAGTTTCCTAACAAACTGATCCACATTTGTCTTTTAATATCACTGTGAGCCTGTCCATTTCTGCACATGCTAATATTTTATGTATTAACTCTTCCTCTGTGGGAATTTCCTTGCTCTTCCATTTTTGCGCTAAAGCAAGCCTAGCTGCAGTCAGGATGTGTAGCAGCAGGTAGATTGTTCCCTTGTCGTATTTTTCTGTCGTTATTCCCAACAAGAAGAGTTCAGGTTTTAACTCTAAGTCCAGTGTTAATATATCCCTCAACCAGTTTTGTGTCCTGTTCCAATACTCACGAGTCTTTGGACATTCCAACCACATACGGTAGTATAAACC